CGGAAATAAATGAGAAACAAAACATTAGTTACAGCAGTTCGTGACATGTTGAAATGAATCTGAGTTCCGTCGTTTTAAAATTAAAATTCCGTTTATTCGCATAATAATGATAGGAATGACGATAAAAATGATTTTACAAGTCAATTATTTACTTATTTACGTTCACAATACATCGCCGGCCGTCGGCCGACGGCAACGGACTCGCGAACACGTGAATAAACTAAACACGCAAAATTTGGAATAACGAAGATTACACACGCGATAAATAGCTGGTAAACGATCAAACACTAATTATGTGGAATGTGTGCTAAGCGTTATCGCACCGATGCAACAAAACAAACACACTCGCAGAATTATTTTTAGTTAAACCTGCATTGTTGCGCCATCTGAGAACCCATTCAAGTACCTCGCAAAAATACAAAGTGTTTCAAGCAGAGTGGCACATGTGTAGCAGTGTTGAATTGTTTATGAGTCAGTGAGTGGTCACGCACTTAGGAAAATGTTCATGCGCCACCCAAACTATATGAGAGAAATGAGAATTAATTGCGCTAGAGTTTAGTATATTTGCCTAGGATACGCAAACAATATTTTCGCGAGCAAACCCAAAAAATACAAACATTTCACGAGAAAGGATGACAAAATCACCCTTTTATGCAAATTTTCGCGGGTTCTAGGTCGAATTTCTGCGACAAACAAAGACAACTCGACGAAGATTTTAATTCAGCATTTTAGACGCTGCTCTGAAGTTATTAAGCCGCTAAGGTCGCGTGCAAACCCAAAAAATACAAACATTTCACGAGGTAAGCTGAAATAATCACCTTTTATGCCATTTTTCGCGAGTTACACGTCGAATTTCTGCAAGAAACAAATACAACCCGACGGAGAATTTAATTCAGCATCCTTAGACGGCGCGTTGAAATTTATAAGCCGCTAAAGTCGCGTACAAACCCGAAAAAATAAAAACATTTCCCGAGAAAGGATGAAATAATCACCCTTTTATGCAATTTTCGCTGGATACAAGTCGAATTCCTGCAACAAACAAATACGACCCGGCGGAGAATTTAATTCTGCATTTCTAGACGCCGCGCTGAATTTACTACGCGGCCTAAACCGCGTGCAAAACCATAAAAGCATTTAACGAAAAATTGTAAAAATCACCCGTTTATGCCGGGTTCATACGGTGCCTTGAACACGAGTCACTTCTACCGCTACCTTCATGCGGTGCCCTAAACACAACTTCTACCGCTAGCCTCGTACGGTGCCCTGAATCGAGTCACTTTACCGCCACTCTGCTATGGTACACCGAATGAAACTCAACTATACAATTGTAATAAATTGCAATATTAAACTAAAAAAACAAAGAAAAAACAACATTCTTAATTTTATATTCAAGTCAATAAACTTAAATTTAACCATCTGGTCTCACAAAGAATGTAAATGTTCGTCGCGGTTAAATATAATGCAACACCACGCTGGATTTTAATTATTATGTGATTCTAAATTATACTTTTCTTATCTAGAAGAGACTCAGTTTCAGGAGAAACTTGTAGAATTAAAAAAGTAATTCACTAAAAGGTAATTCATAATCACATAAAAATAAATTATTATAAAATTAAACACAAAATATTATTCAGGAATTTATTGACTAATCAAAGATAATGATACTAAATGGCATTTTTTTTTCGAGGCTTTTCGATAAAAAGAAATATCTTTTAAACTAAAAGCGCTAGCGGCCAGCTGATTGCAAATTATGAAAGTTTGGAAAATTCTCTATGAGATAACACAAGAAAATAATTAAAATTCGGGCGTAAAGGTTGGGAAATCGTGTTTAAATATGAAATAAAGATCGCATTTTTATTTTTTATGAGTTTTTTTCGTTCGCGAGTACCTATATCCCGTACTCTTATTAGTACTATTATTAGGAAGAGACGGAAATTATTAATCTACGGATAATTCTCTACGGGAATAAAGCAAAGTATTAAAATTGTGCCTGCTGTGCCTCAGCAAAATCGCGACATTTCATGATAAGACTACCTGCTGCCCGAACGCGTAAAGCCGGCGCACGCGACTTTGTGCACAAATTGCAATAGCGATCTAAACTAAACTCGAACACCAGCAGAGAGAGAGACGTAAGAAGAATGCAACGACAACACACTGCAATTTCGGGCGTTGCTATTCGCACAGCAATAAAAAAGTGTAAACAAACCCAATTCTCGCGTCGAATGCCCACGTTTGCTGATAAATATCCAAATAAACAATACAAGTCTATTTTTCGATGTTTAGTTCATGTTAATGCCATCTATAATTGATACAAGTAGTAGTCCCACAATTTAGATTACTTATTAAAACTAATGATGAATTAAAATTCAATTCACGTAATTCAAAATTATTATGCTGAATGATTTCCCGATTTTAAATAAAAATTTAAGTGCTATATAAATTTTACACAGATAAGAAGTTGAGGAATATAGCTTATTGATTCTTGTTCAAATAAAATGTCAATTCATTTTCCTTCAGAAAGAACTCTGTCATTTGGTATCATTGCAGAAAAACATTAAAACGTAGAACTAAACTGAAATCTAAGTACACGGCAAACTCTTTCTATAAATAATAAAATTATTTTACTTACCAGTTATGCAAAACCGTAAATCGAAGACATGTTGATAGATACTGAAATAAATGAGAAACAAAACATTAGTAACAGCATTTTATGCCATATTGAAATGAATCTGAGTTCCGGAACCCAGTTTTTACTTTAAATTTTTTTTATTCACATAATAATGATAGGAATGTCAATATTTACTATGTAGCATATTAGTCCATAATCATCTGCTGATGATATAAATGCTTTTCACAAGTCAATTAATTATTGGCATTCACAAAACATCGCCGGCCGTCGCCCGACGGCAACGAAGTCACAAACACGTAAATACACTAAACACACAAAATACAGAATTACGAAGATTACACACGCGTTAAATAGCTGATAAAAGATGAAACACGTTTATTAACACTAACTATCACCGACGATCAGGAAATATAACGCGATTTACCGAACTACTATGAAAGAATAACACAAGCCGAAAGTGTGGAATGTGTGCTCGCCGTTATCGCACCGATGCAGCAAAACACTCGCTGAAATATTTTTAGTCAAACCTGCACTGTCGCGCCATCTGAGGACTCTTTCTAGTACCTCTAATAAGTACAAAGTGTTTCAAACAGTGTGGCGCGCATGTGTTGCAGTGTGGATATGTTTATGAGTCAGTGAGGTGTCACGCACTTAGATGGTAGCGTCCATGTGACACACTTACGGGAAAGTGTGCGTGCACTACCTTGTCTAAATGAGTAGCAGTTTTATACAGAAATGCAATAAGTCAAATCTAAATGAGGCGTAATGTTCAAATTTAAATCTGCGTTTTACAAGTATGATTCCAATATTAAATCATAAATCATATTGTATCAGCGTTTCTCTTATAAAAATTAAATACATCCTGATAGAAAATGTATGCATCTTTAGGCCCTGCGCTCAGGATTGTACAACTCTGCGTTTGCATTAACCGCCCCCATGTGTTTCAACGACAACACTCGGGAATTTCATGCGTTGCATTCCACGCAACGGAAGCGAGAAGAAAGTAAATTGTGATCGAAACAAACACAATTTCCGTGCCGGTTTCCCACGTTTGCCGATTAATATAGAAATAATCATTACAATTCCATTTTATGATTTTTAGTTCATGCTAGTGCCATCTCTGAATGATACAGGTAGGAGTCGCGGAATTTAGATTATTAAAATTAATCAATATATAATAAATAAATAAATATTGTCATTTATCACGAACAAATGGTGCTTTATCTGAAAGATAACATTAGTGCAATGAGATAACCATTTAAGATATCTCAAATGCGCTTGATTCTATTTTTTTAGAAGCACACATTATTTAACAACATTTTAAAATGTACTCTAAAACCATTCATTTGATATGTCTTGCATTTTGTGCTGCATTAACAATTTGTACAGTTTGTGATGCTATGGAAAATAAAATATTTGAAGATGAAGTAATGCAAATGTTTAATTGCACACGTGAAGTTTTGGATGAAGGTCTGCCGGAACTAGGATTACCATCTTTAAAGGATATAGAAATTCCACTTATAACCATAGATTTAAAAGATCTTGAAATTCCTGGAGCGTCGTAAGTGAACATCTGAGTTGAAAAGTGTTATAAATTATATCTCAATGTATTATTGTTTTTGTTATAGTGGTTTTATTATCCTGAACAACACTGTAATTTCCGGTCTTACAAATTTGGAGCTATCTGACCTGAAAATTAATCCTATTATTATTGGAGGACTTGGCATTTCAATAAAAGCCAAACTTACATTATCATTATTTGTGATTGCTACTGAATACATGGGGGAGTTTACCATAAATAATTATGACATTTTTGGAAATGGACAACTTCGACATGTAATGCAAAATTTGGTAATAAATCTGCAAACGGAAATCATGTTTCATAATGTGCGCAGCGTTTATTTGGCTAAGTTTAGAGCAGTTCCCAATGTAGAGGATATTAAGGTAAAAATAACACTTTGTGAGCTTTAACGTTTTTTATAATTCATATTGACTTTCAGTTGGAAATAAGTGGATTCTTCAATGACGAAGAACAAAGTGCATTGTTGTCGCAACTCGTAGAAGAAGAAGCTTCAAGTTGGGTAAATGGTAAATCACAAGATATTGCTGATGTTATTGAAGAATTTGTACTTAATTTGGGAAACATTGATATCGTTTCCACAACTTTATTAAATGAATATCCTAATATTAATGATATTATTAACGCCATTTTAAAAAATGTTCTTTTAACTAAATACAAACATTTTTAAATGTGTTATTGATTATTCTGTGTATAGTATCTAAAATACAAACAATTAAATAATAATTTCAATACATAATAATATAGATTACAATAAAATTAAATTGTTTAATCATGAAAATAAAAAACTGCTTTTAATTCATTTCATGATTAGCTACTTGTCAGGTGGTGGGGCAACCTGTTAACCTAAACGTCGTCCCCGTTTTCACAACAGAAACTATTCCAACATCTAGTCATCTAAAACTAAATTTTCGCAAGCAAAATGATCAAGTAAGTGGCATTCAAACAAAGCTTCTAACTGTGTCGGTTTATAATATCAAAATTGCATCTCAAAACTGCCTTTTTCTGCTTTAAATCAAACTTTCACAATGGTTTCGAGGATGAGACTTATTTCATACAGTGTTATGCAACTAAGATCTGGACTCACAAGACGCCGACGTCGTATTTTAGCGATATTGTCTACCTTCTAATGTTTTAAAAAGAATTACACATAAAATTTGATGTATTGTAAAATTTTAGGTTTGGCATTAAAGTTGGGATAGCAGCAGGAACATGTTACTATCTTTCCGAAGAAGGTATCTGGAGGGAGAGTGAGCAGTCAATTAAAGCATATGATAAATTAACTGCAACTATGTCACCTTATGTTAAAGAAGTCACTTCACAAATCCCTGTTGAGGTATCTTCTATATCAGGTTTTATTATTCATGTAACATTTAAATAATGTTTGAAATTTTAGTTTCCTCATTTACCAAATTCTGAAAGAGTATCTTTTGTTGCTAAACACTACTGGAATCAAGGTGTTATGGCAACATTTGATTTTGCACAAAATCTCCCTGAGCATGTTGCTAATTTGGGGTGTAAAACAATGCGAATGATTAATGATAACCCAGAATTGAAGAAATTTGTTGACTCATTTAAAGCACCTGCCACTCCTGCAATTGAAGATGTGAAGGATGCAGCTAAGAAGAGTACAAAATAGCAAAACAATGCCATAAAATGAGGTAGAGATGCTAATTTATCAATCACAAGAGTCTAGTGCATTGAATCCTGCTGTTTATGGGGTATTATTTGATCTGTGTATTTGGATGTTAAATTGAGTAAAATTAATAAACGTTTACGACCGCAGAACGAACTATTTTATACGCTAACTCATTTTTATATTTTTATCAGTTTAAGCAAGAGAAAGCAGTAAAATAAAATAAGTATGGATGGTAATGGTTTTTAAATATTTACAAATGCTTGTAAATTATAATTTTGGCTATGTGTAGTTATATTATATAAATTACATTTGACGCTTGGCAAAGAGTTGATATAACCCTAGGAATGAAGACGTCGTGGCAACAAGACCAACCTGCCATGTATTTAATTTTTCACCCCATAAATACCCCTTTGGCAAGGTGTTGACAGCATGTACCAAATCCAAGGTAAGTCTGATACATGTCAACACTTCAAACTTCTGTTTACTTAAAAGGCGATCCAATGCATCACTAAAAACCAAACAGTGCAAAATCCATTCATTGTCCATTCATCATACACACCATATTAATTGTACTTACACTGTATTACCAGTGGTAGCTTGACATTTTTTATGTTTTTGCAACAATAACACATATCTAACATTGCTCATCAATGAAAGATAAATAGAGGCTACCCAAAACACAGAACTAGCTGTGTCCCATTTACTGCCATTGTTACCATCAATCAATTTATGCTCCAACAGCCAACTCATCTTCTCCACTGGGTAATAAATCTGATCAATTATATTTGTGATCACACCCAAGGAAGCCATCATTGTGTCAGGCTCCTGAATTCAAAACAGACAATTATTACTGAAGATTATGCTATAAACTATAAACAAATACATTGTGCCCAAGTCCATACTCAATGTTATACTTCAACATTGGTAAATCATCAAGTAGTCTCAAAACAGCTCTGGTTCCAGACATTTGTGAGCTGAAAGCCAACATTCTTTGACCAAACTTTGGGTTCGAGGTGAGTCCTCCAATCAGCTTGGCACTATAACATAAAGTCCTTAGCACCTGTATGAATGTTTCTTCGTTAGTAGGTAAGATTTACGGATGGTGATATTTACCTTATCGCGACCTTTGTACGTGTCTAACACGTCGCAGATTTCGTTGAGGGCGAACATCGTTGCTTTTCCCATGTTTATGACTAAAATTCCTGGGTTTTCAACCTAAACATTACATTAACATATACTAAACTGTCGGTACACGTCGTCGACTAGAATTGGCATTTCTCACAAAACCACTTTCTAAAATATTCACTTTTACTAACAAGTCGTTTACACTTACGTTATATTATATCTATGAGTATATACATGAGATATAAAATGAACTGTATCATTGTTTCAAGGTTATCTAGTATGTTCAGTATCCACTTCCAAAACATTTAAATTTAGCATAATATAAACAAATTTATCAAATATCTAGTTGTAAACATTTAAAATACAATGAATATGTTAAAATTAAGTATTAATAATTATTTTAGGAAAAAACTGATTGGTATTTGGCGTGTTTTGTGGTGTAATTTGATTATCCTGCATTGTTTTGGAGAAATCTTCAGTGTTTTGACAGTTCCTCTTCAAATCTTGCAAGAATAACTGTTGCCTCTCTTCTAAAAGTGGACAATTTTGCAATAAAGCATCATATTGCTTCAATAGTCTTCTAATAATCTCCATTTTGTTATCCACCATTGATCTATCAATTCGTCGAACATCGTAAATGGAAGCAGCGCAAAATTTATTGAACTTTTCAAAGTGTTTCAATAAACTTATAGGTTTATCAGATTCCAGGAAGCATTCATTATTCTTAAAGTAATTGAATAGTGTATTGCAATGTTTGAACTTTTCATGAATTTGTAAAACTTCAGCTGAGTCTGTTTCAATGGCATCAAGATCATCATCATTAATATCAGCACTTTTTGCTTCTGATTGCAAATGCTCTAATGTCATCTGCATTTGTACAATATTTTTCTTGCTTTCAACAATTTTTTGTGTGATCAGCTTGGCTTGTTTTTCATATTCAAGCATTTTCTGATTATGCTCCATTACTTTTTGTAAAGTTTCCTGCTCTGTGACATATAATAATTTATTAACATGAGTAATAACATCACCAATATGCTCTTTAGATTCTGAACTACAGTTCACTGTAGGTAGCAGAGGAAAATTTATGCAATCTTCTCTTTTGATTGCTTCTGTCACAACTAGTTGAGTGATATCAAGCATTAGGTTGACAAATTTAAGGCCACCTGGATTTATCAATTGTGATGCAACAATTGTGGGAATCTCATAATTAGGGTAAATAGTTTTTAATTCATTGATGTAAGTCATTACTTCCTTTCTGAATTGTGCCTCCATTTTGATGTCAAGAATGGGCCAGTTTGAGATCTTCTTTTTGATGATTGCTGGATTGAGTATTTTGAATAAATAATAAATAACATGTTGGAATGCTGCTTTGTTGTTTTTTACAAACATATCTGGCTTACAGACCGAATCGAAAGCCTCAGTTGTTGGGTATAAATGTTTTAGAAGTACCATGTAATTGAATAATTGCATGTGTGTTCTTTGGTCAATAGATTTTTGCTCTTGAATAGCACTCATCTAAAATAGTTCCAGAATAATTAAGAAAGAGTTATTGTAATAATATTATTATAGAATATCAAATATCATACGTTTTTAATTCAATTTTTACCGTAAAATATTAATCAAACTGCTTATAACCGTTAACCAATTTTTGATTCTTCAATGACGCGACTGTCAAGGGCATTGAGAACCATTTAAATATATTTTATTTTTAGATTATTGTGTTTGTCTAAAATATCTATTATTATTATCATTATTTAAAATATGCAATAAATAAACAATATTTATTCTATAAAACTTTTTAAATTTGATTGCTAATATTTGAAAATCCTGATTTTGTCAACTTTGACAACATAACCCGTCAGATTTTGTAAGGTTACGTCCATGTTATGCCACAGAAGTTCACATTTTCGGCATACTTCACAAAATTTAATATTAAATAGTTAAACAATAAAGAATTAAACTATCAAGTACGTGCAAGGTATTTTTAATTGTCATTGACAATTTCAATGTAACAATTGTTTTCCAGCGTGGACAGTCGTCAACCTATCAAAAAATGTTCAATTTTACTAGAGCAATAGTCAGACATACAAAAAACAACATAGGGAAATACACCCTTACAAGACTTAACAACTACTCGTCAGCGCCGGTTTCCGCTGAACTAAAGCCTCCGATTAATGAGGCTCAACCCAGCATTGTGAAGACAAAAATCATCCGCAGTTCTAATAGTATTGTAGCTGCTGCATTTGCATCTCTTACAAATGAAAATCCACCTGTCAGTGAGATAAAAACGCCGTTTACGGACGATCGCATTGATAATGCAAAAGTATTGACGAGCTATTGTCGATTTCCGCAGATGGCGCCGGAATATCCAGGCGACATGCCTTGAAAGTTGTGTCCATTTTAGCCACATGGTCATCAACTGGCAAAGTGAAGTTGATTGACTTTGAATCTGATGCTAGGTTCATCCGGCTGTGTAAGGTGCTCACCAAGAATGCTAGTTACAAGAAGGCACCAGCAATTACTAATAGGAATGAAGATTTGTCTATGATTATGAATGTGGCTGCTGATGATGAGGCTGCAAAGTTGGTTGCCTCTATTACTCTGCCACAAATGGTTAAAGTAAGTTTTTACTATTATTCATAGCAAAAAGAATGCACACACATCTTTGGTTGCAAATTGTTTAAAATTTTTTGTTTAAATTTCTTCTTGTACACTTGGAATTTTATTTTCCAGGTGATGCAAACATTAGCAGTGAAAAAACGTCGTTCAACGATGCTGCTGCGTTCATTATCATTCAACATAACAAAAAATCCTAGTAAACTGGACCTGAAACAATCCGCCGATTTATTGTACAGCATGTGCATATTGAATTTCCCAGATCAAAATCTGCTGGAAAAAATCTCCACGGATATCCTCCAAGGATTCAGCGCAGGCGTCAAAAAGAGTTCGGTGATTGGTTCAATCATTACAAGTTTAGGCATATTGAAATACAAAGACACAAGTAGGTTTCATGTCAATGTGTTGTTAATATTACTTGTTATTAACTATATTTATCATATAGGTGGAATGTTAGATGCACTTTGCAGTTGGATGTTGGATAATCATGCGACTTGTCGTTCACAAGACCTTTTCGCGTTGTTTTTGACACTTGGCGTACTTAATTATCAACCCACAAACGCCGAATCACTCTTTGAAAAAGTCCAGCCACAGTTGTCACAAGCAGAAGCATCGAAACCGAACATTTGGCTTGATTACGTGTGGTCGCTGGTTGTGTTGAATCGAGCAAACAAAGAACACATAGACAGTGTACTGCAAAAAGATTTCATAGAGAAGTGCGATAGCATTCCGGGGAGAATTAAATTGTTGCATGTGAATGCCGCTAGTAAGGGCGATAAGTTACCAGCTGACAGTGACATCTTTTCGACAGTTATCACACGAACAAAAGAAAAGGAAGAGATGGTTAACTCTGTGTTAGACACGTTGAAAAACCTGATGAAGAGTGAGACTTACATTAAGAGTAATGTCGATAACAATATGGGCTTTTTTATTGACGCGGAATGTATAATCGACAAAAAGTGCTTACCGGTCGCAAGTGATAAATATTCAGCAGAAGCTGGTCATGTTAAGTAAGTTATTAATTAATTATTTTTTTGATTTCTTACCAAAATATGATATTTTTCAGAGTGGCGATAATGGTGCAAGATTATCACGATATGTGCAGAGGACGAGTGGAACCAATCGGTACGGTTGTGCTCCAACATCGTCTCCTCGAACAACTCGGTTACAAAGTCATCCAAGTCCCGTACTTTGAATACCGCGTCCGTGATAAACTCATCCATCGAGTGCAACTCATTGAATCGAAGCTGAAGGCGATAGTGGCGCCATCAACGTAACTAGCCCATTCTCGTAGTTTTGCAACGAGGTAACAGAACTCCAAACAATTGTTGCTATACCGCTATATATGTACAAACACTATTTAAGTTACCGAAGTTAAGACCAGAGACGTAAGAGAGGTGAGTCTATGTAGTTAAATTTTGTTAAGAAAATGAAGATGTGCGATGGAGAAAAAAAACTGAAGTATGTATGCAACTTAAAATACTTACACGATCGGTTTATAATTTAAAAGCAAATATCGTACACTTATTTGTGACTCGTTAAGAGATTCCTAGCGTTAAAGCAGGCGACCTTTACATTCGGAACTGCCGCAGTTGCAGTACAACACTTTGTCTTCCACGCTGCCCACATCGTAGTTATAGTTCCACGTTAATTCTGTTCCTGCGCGTATAAACTGCATCGCGAAGAATGACACCCAGGGGAAGCGAAGGTCATGCGTGTCGACAAACACGTTTTGTACGAAGACATTAGGCGAACATGAATGCTAAAAATAATTAATATAATAATATTTAATGAATAGCATGAAGAAAAATAGAACTTACGTTTAAAAATCGTCCTAGGTTGCCGGTAGATTTCGCATCCATAATGTATACATTCTCGTCTTTTCCAAAAAGTGTGCGTACTGATGGATATTTTGAGGTGGGCGCCTGCATGTCGCCGTCTGGGTTAAATCCACCGGGTTCGCGTGTTGTAGGCTGTTCGTCTGCCTCTTCATCACTGTTGTTGAACGAATCCTCGCCGAGTTTTTTGTAATTTATTTCGACATCGCGCTTGCGCAGTCTGCTTCGAATTGAACCTTCTTCGTGCACCGATGACGCAGGTTGTTCTGCGCCTGCGCCGGGGGTTGTAGCAGGTGTAGTTGATTCAGGTACAGTCGTGTTATTTTGTTCTGATTTTTCTTCAGTTTTCTTTGCAGTCTTTTTCGTCTCTGTTACCTGTGGTGTTTTTTCTTCACCACCTTCGTCACTTTCATATGCGTCCGCTTCATAATCGTCCTTCGCCATTTCGACGATTTCAATAAAATCTAATTCAGCGTAATATTCATCTCCACAAGTTTGCCCACCCTAAACAAATTTAACATTAATTCACATCAAATTATTGCAAATATTCTACGTACTTCATTGGCCATTTGGTCAGTAAGTAAACATCCAGCGTAAATACAAATAAAAGAACCTCGTGGAATGTCATTAAGACATCGTATGCCCCATCCACGATTATTACTTGTCAAGAACACCTGCAACTTATGCTGGAGTGGATTTTGCACTACTCTATTAAGACAGGTCTTTCTGCATCGACACCGTGAGTTACACTCATAGATGCCCGTCAATAATGGATTTAATAATCGCCGATAAACGTATCCCACATCTTCTGGTGCCTTGTGTAAGAATTTCGCGCCCTCTTGCGTGAGTTTCCAGCACGCACATTTTGACTTGTCCCAACAATCGTCCGTACAATCACAGCAGGTTAAAAATTCCGGATCCAAATTTAAGTTTACACCTTAAAATACAAAAGTTGATTAAATTAAGTAAAAATAAGTTAAAATAAGTTATATTATTATTACTAACCTTCTGACGGTGTTCTTTGAGTGGAATAGTTGACAAAGTCGCAAACTTTATTATCGACATAATTGACAACCGGAAGTTGTACTTGTTCCAAACCTTCGGAGAGATCTTTATTAAGGCAGGCATCCGGTTCGAGGATAAATTCAGCTAGACATCTCACCGCAGGATCAAAATCGAAAAGATCCACAGTCAATTCACTATTTGTAATTCGTAAATATTTATGTAACTCCTCCATGTTTCTTGTAGTTCGTCCACAGGGTGTTTTATACAAAATGAAAGGCCGCCGATGTTTCGCTTTATAAAGCATGCGATAAAAACCACAAAGCAATGGTTTCGCCAATGGTCCATATCCTTTCAACCGATTCAACGGCGTGATTTGTTTAAGACACGCCGCTTTACAGTTGTGCGGTTCATACAAATAAAACGAGTACGGTTTGCGTGGAGTGTAATAAACGATTTTCCCCGGTGGTGGCCGCTCGTGTTGTACCGGCGGACGCGAGTGCGCATGACCAGTACTCGAACTCGAAGGCCTAGTGCTTTTCTTTGCCACCGCACGGCTGCCTGGCTTCCCAACGGGTTCCTGTGAGATGAAGACCACATCATTGTCATCGCACACCGAACTGTATTCGACATACGGCGCTCCTGTCAAATTAGAAAGTCGATTTCTTGCTCTTGGATATTTATGTTTCAAGTTCTGACGATTATTAGCCGCTTGTTCTTCTTGATACATGGTTTTCAATCGTCTCGACCCGCGATAAATCCATTCTGTGCGTTTTAAACTCGAAAAATACATCTGCACCAATGAACAATCAACTTCTTTGACTGTAGTCTCAAACCATTTACCCTTATATTCCGTGCGGACCTTTTGATACTTCAAAAATTTCACCATCGACCGATTTGGATACTCAGTCAGGTATTTCTTAATAAACGGACGAGATTCCTGATACACATCCTCCCAGACGTCTTTAGAAGATTCATAAATCATGAATACCTCACGATGATGCACGTATAACGCGTAACCATCATCGAAAAAGATTAAATATCTATACTTATTAAACGCGCATGGGAATTCACCCACAATACCCGGGTAATACACTTTTAGGCGATTACTGTGCGGCACAGAGTTACTTTCGTCAAAAAGTGCTATTACCCTGGTGCCTATTTCTAATAATATAGGCAGCGTTTCGGAATATGCGATGTTTCTACCCTCGACGAAACGACGCTGTTCACGCGAACCCAAATCACGCACGACTTGATACATGTAAGTGCGTATGTGAATATCGTTGATTTTCGAACCAGGCGGGATGATATTCTCAAGACGTACCTTCATCCAGGAGGTGAGATCAGTCCGTCGACTATAGTAAAATTCACCGATGATAAGCGGTGGTTTAACGGCGGTGCCGCGCATTGGAAGGTCAATCGGTGGGTGAATGGTTTGTACATTGACTGTTTCCACATCATCTTCAGTTTCTTCGGTTTCCATTTGGGGAATATCTAGTATGAGTTCGCTTAACTCGCTTTGGTGCGGGCGCATTGCGTTTGTTAAACTGTAGAGGATTTGATCAAATTGTTTGCGGACATCTTTAATGTCATTTTGTAATTGTACTGTGGATTCTATAAAATTTCAACCGAAATCGCGTTAAATTTAGTTAAAAAGTGAATTTATATGCAAGATATTGTTATATTTACCATTGGACTCTTTGACTTTTGTCTTTATTTCATCCAATGTTCTCTTCATGGTGTTCTCCACATCATATTTGATCATACTCTCTTCCATTACTTCAGCAAAGTGTTCTTCCAAGTAGCTGATTGCTTTCTCATCTAAGTTTTTATCCTCATAGCCTTCTTCTTCATCTGAATCCAATGCAACCACCTCACAGAAGTCAGGATAGTCTAGTGTAAGTAAACTTTTGCCCTGTTCTATGGCTTTACTGATATCAAAGAAGTGGTTTGTTGCAATATCATAGCATGCTTGACAAACTTTTTGCCCTTTCGCTTTGCCTTTGATTTGATAGTAAGTTAGACAGTATGCTGGTGGTTCTACTGGATCAAAACCACTCTTGCAGTAGTAATTGATGCAGTTTCTTTTTGTTTTCTCTTAAATATATATTAAATAAGTTAATATTTTATTTTATTTCTACTTTAGGATATTTTTGTAGGTTATATTTACCGGCGTTATCAACATCCATTTCGTCATCGTCCAAGACGATGACTTCGTTAGGTTTTTTCGCATCTGCGATATTCTCCTCTTGCTGTAGTTCACTCATGGTTATTAATCTCGCATTATTACGTTTTTTATTATTAGTTTAGTGGATGCTTTTGAACATCCGAAATTACTCCGTGAGCGAAAGAAACAAAAGTGGTGCTGGCATCAATGCGGATTAATTTGGAACTTCTGCCAAATAAATTTTAAGGTTTTTTATTAATTTAAATTAATTTATAATTTAATAAACTACTTAATAATTAAATTAAATAAATTTAATGTATAATCATATTTTATTTTTATTTGTATGGATTCTGTTAATAATTTTAGTTAATGTAATACAATGTAAACTACAACTAAACATAGGCAACTTTTAATGCGTTGAAAAGTTGCCACTGGTTGCAGTTGCAGCACATTTTTGTTTGATTTTCAACCAGATAACGCGATTTGGAACAAGTCTACGTAATTAACAAAAAGTAAATTAACGCAATGAGTTCTCAAGAACCTCGTCCAATTTTGAAACGAAGTAATCCTAACTTTCAAGATGAGTGCAAACAGATTGCAAGTGGTGAGTACATGTTTAACCTAAATATATTTTCATTGTGTTCTGAACTTCAATTAGAAATTAAAAAGGATAATTATCAAATAAGGGCATAAAACAAACATGTTAACAATACACTATACGATAGAATCCACGTTGTAACTAACAATATAAATATGATACTTTATATAGAACAGTTATAGACAAATAAAAGCCTTTTTTTTAATTCAAAATAATGTTTTATGAAGGACTTATTAATTGGTAAAGCTAAACATTTTAGATTTGGCATCACATAAAACCACAATGTTAGAAGTGGTTATGCAGCTAGAACCTTACTTCTCCAGTAAGGAAATAGATGATAGAGAAGAAGGTGTGCATGTTTTGTCAACCATACTTGAATTAATTCCAATTACATCTCTATGGCAAGAAGAAATTGGTCAATTTTGTCTTTTTTATAAAGGAAGATTGAATGATCATTACAAGGTACCTTTCACATTTATTTTCCATAAAAAATAGGGATTAAATCATGCTAAATCATTCCTAGGTGATTCCTGCTCTTCTAAATGGTATTTTAGCATTATCCAAATATGATAAACCAATGAAAAATCATGGATTCAGCGAGATTCTCACAACCATGTTCCAGACAGTGTCTTGTCAAGCCCTACAAAATGCCGAGAGGTTGAAAATTTTTCATATTTTTCGTAATATGCTACGAAATCAAACAGCAGGTAATTAAAACAAGAAAACCAACACCTAGTAACATATAGTAATGTTATTTTTGTGTAGAATTGTTAGATTTAGGCCCAGATTTTGTCTACGGCGTTATTGCTGCAATTGATGGTGAGCGAGATCCACGGAATCTCATCTTCCTCTTTGAATGGCTGCCCGAGTTTATTAACACTGTGAAATTAGGACATTTAGTTGAAGAAATGTTCGAAATTATTTCGTCTTACTTTCCTGTTGACTTCAGAGTTCCTGCAGCGGAAGCAAACGTACGTTTTATACAAATTTCTTTCTTTTATCAAGTTTAAATGTAATTATTTTAGGGTATAAGTCGCGATGCGTTAGCCGAGGCTCTAAAACCTTGTTTATGCGCCACAAATGACTTTGCCGAGCAGGCTATTGAACTAGCCATTGAAAAACTTGATTCAGACTTGCAAATTGCCAAACATGACTCTCTACAACTTCTGGTAAGTTATTAATTATTATTCTTTTAAAATTCGGTAATAAAATTTTTATTCATTAGCATTTTGGTTGTAAAAAATTTACAAACGACGTTTACATAAAATATAAAACAGGTATTTGGTCAGCACTCCAAAAAGAACTTTTAAAATTCCCGTCGCAAGAGCTTGAAACATTATTACTTTCGACTATAACCGAAATATCTCGTAAAATAAGCACAGATCACACACATTTTGTGGATATTTTCGATAAAGTTCTCGAAACAAACGTTGGTAATATCAATGTTATCGAAAAATTCTTCAATCCAACCTGTAAACTCTTCCTGGCGATGAGCAGAGCCAACGCCATCTGTGCGAATAGAATTCTACAAAATGTTCAACCACGTTTTATTAACTTATTCAACATCACATCAACTAAAGAGCATAAAATACTAATTCTAAGAATTCTAATCGAATTTATTAAAGTTGGTGATGAGTACAACGCCAATACATCCGGAATTCCACAATTTCTTATGACATTGTTACTTCAACAAGATGAAGAATTACGAGCGTTAAGCTTAGAAGCGATTTGTTATATACAATCAGAATTTGAAGAAATCAAGTTGATGTTACTTGAACAATGGGGAAAATTATTAATTGAACCAATTAATGTGCAATTACAATCAAAGTTTCATCAATGTATTACACATTATGCAACCAAATGCACTCAAGAGATTGTTTTATTAATCGAGAGTCTTCCAAATGTAAATTTCCAGTGCCTAATGGAAAATTTAAGTGTTTTAAGTTCAATTGAACCATTTATTGGACAGTTTTTGAAGTTACAATTGAATTACTTCGATGTTCAACCAAAAATTTGCTTGAAAACCCTAAATTCAGCTTTAAAACTTCATAAAAACAATGAAATATTATACAAGAGTGTAGATGCATCTAATATAATAGAATCTAAATTATTATGTTGGCAATTGTATAAAAATAATGAAAATATTGATGAAAGTGATTTGCTGAATGTAATGGACATATTAATGCATATAATGGGCAGTTATACAGTTGAACAACAATCTGTGGTTGTAGAAAAACATTTGTTGACTGCTTTGGAACAGTTTCAATATGACAATACGAAAGTTTACTTTGTTAGTGGATTAATGACTAATTTGTATTTGGATAATCTACGTGATTATGGAATATTATACAAATTATTTGAGATGAGTTGTGGGGACATCTAGTTGCAGTACAACTATTGGCGAATTTGATTAATAAGTTGCCTGAGGATGTGATTTCATCAGTTATTGAACGTTTTGAGAGCGATTTAATGCAGCAAGTTGAAAATGCGTATTTTGGAAATGTTGTCGTGTGGGTAACGAAAGCATTATTTATGCGCGGACATAACGACAGGAAGAAATGGATACAAATAGTGAGTATTAAACTGAAAAGCATTAGTTTTTGGTTACGCTTGCAGCGAAAACTAGAAAAGTTGGGTTATGTACAGATGTCAAAGTTATTATGCATTTTTAGTTTGTACAATATTTAAATCATCCCGATGTGCTTTCTAAAGGCATGAAAATCATAATGAGCGATGATTGTCCGCCATTTTCTTCATCCAGCCATTGTCGTCGACGTTTACTCTACAAACAAGACTTTTTCCTTGAAATGTGTCAGTTATTAGATGCTGATGATTCCATAAACAACGAGAAATGCATTTTGGCGTTCGGTGCTCTTGCTCAGGAAGTACCAATGGTTATTTTGAAGATGAACTTTGAAAAGGTAAACATTTTAACTACTTAATTAAATTATTTCACTTTTATTTACTTTTATTTTTAGTTTATAAGATTAATTATGCTGTGCCTTGACAATCACAAAGATGCAACCGGACCCATCACAATCATGGAAAGTATCCAACATTTAATTGAAACAGGTGATGCGCTGAGTGAACAATACTTGGATGACTTCATTGTTCGATTGGTAAACCAAGCTCGATTCAGTGTTTCAATGAAAGTCCGTATGGTGGCGCTGCGCTGTGTGCGTTTGTATATTAATGAAAAAATACCTATGCACAAGTTAATTAAGCACAAAGCTTACGTTACTCAGGAATTGGGGCATTGCGTGGGTGATAAGAAGCGACTTGTGCGGAAAGAGGCTGCGGAAGCAAGATTAAAGTGGTTCTTATTGGGTGCACCAATATAATATCCAAAAATTAATAAAAATAAAGAAAAAATGTATCAATGAAGAAAATATTAGATGACATTTACTGTAAAAATGTTTATTGTAGTTTTATAAGTTGAGTTTTAGTTGTTTCCAAATGATTTTAATTAAAAAATGGGTATTTTCATAAAAAAAATATTAAGTTTTGCATGTTATATTCTATACCTAACCATATTTGGTTCGACTTTTGTACTTAACACGCAAGAAAAACATCTGCCGTTCCAGTTTGCGAATCCAACCCCATGAAACGATGACTCATACCTGCAAAACAACCGACGCGAAAATAAAAGCGCAGGTAGTCCGCACGTTGCACAAATCCCCCGCCCTACGATAATACCCGCATGTTATTCGTCTAAAAAACTCACACGACACGGATATGTGCCCATCGTGCGCATAGGCATACCCATACATGGTCTTATTTGCTCTTTCCTCCTGAAAATTTTATCACACAGCGACGATTCCAGTAAACTGCGAACTTGCGCAGAGCTTTCTTGACCGCGCCGAAGTACACACGTGGTCCGATCGGTTTCAAAACAGGTTGTTTCAGATTTTTCAGTGAAGCCACTTCATATAGTTTGTATTGTAGTTTGAATAGTTGCACTGGCTGTGTCTGCTTGCTGAGCCATCTGCGCGTCTGCGCTTACAACGTGCGCACAAGCATCACTTAACGTTTCGCCGTGGCGGGATGCGCTTATAGTACACCTTTCGCGGACCTTCCCCGGATGGGTTCTGCATCAACGCGCAAGAACAATCGCCGCACAATTCGGAGGTGACAAGGTAACAACAATCAGATTAAATATGCATTGCTGTTTTTCACGTAGATATCATCGTAGCTCTGTAATCCCGACGTTTTGCGAGCATGACGGGGTTTAGGTTATGTACCGGTTGGTGTAACAAGTGGTTTCACATCGTATTTCATTTGTTTCTATTTATTGATTCATAAAACCATGCGTCGTTATTCACTACTAGAGTTATTTGTTGTTATTTATGGTCCTATCATCAGCGAATGTCAATTTTTATTGATATTTGATGTTTGTTTGTGTTTACGAGCGAATGCGCTGTTGCAGCGGAACAAGTCACAGACGGATCAGACAAGTCGAGACTTGTTGAGATGCTGGTTGAGTGCGTTGCATTTGAAACACCAACGCAATAGACAAACTTAAGGGATGATATACGCCGTTATAAATAATTACATTATCACCTACCATGCATGCATTAATTATTTTTTCATAAAAATGAAATTATGATATAATATTGCGCAATATTATTGACATAAATGCAATTTTTTTAAAGGTTTACATCTCGGATAGTTACAATGAGTTTCGACGAGTAAGTTTTTAATATGATGTTTATATTGATGATTAATTATACTATGATAAAATTACAGTTTCGCGTTTGGTGAGGTAAACACGGAGGATCTTCTTGCAAATTTTCCAGGCTCGGAGTTGGTAAGTGTTTTGTTTTTTACTAACAAATCACCATTAAAACACAACTTTTCATCAACAACGTTGGTTATAAACTGAATTATCCACATTGGTATAATATGTGTATTGTCATTATTTATCTAGTAATCTTTATTAATGTCGCTTACATCACATAATGCAATATGCAGTAAATACACGCACGTAGGGGGGTGACACATAAACGATGATGATGATTATTTCTCCTCGATTGAATGGAATCCGTGATTCAAAAGTCCGCAACTTGTTTGAACATGTCGGCGCTGTTTAAATGCGTTCTGTTTAAAATAGCCTCCCCCTTTTGTATAGATGATAGTCGTGCTGGTGAATGCGCGCGAGTTCAAAGCTTAGTGTTATTTCGGGTGTGCGTTGAGTTCGATACCAAAGAAGTTCTTGTCATTTGAGATTGCAAATGCACCCAGTTGATTTAAATTTACGGGTGGTTGTTAATATTGTTCAGAGAGCGATGGTTGTTGCACGCAATGAAGAGGTAATTATTATAAAATATCTAAATTTTGTGTTTTGGGCATAAGTTTTCTTTTAAATTCAATTTAATTCTTTAAAACTACAATAATTTTGTTGATTTTATAAATTTTTATAAAAATAAATACTCTTTGACCTCTAAATGCCAAAATTTTTGAAGAAGTTCATCAGAAACTTATTTTTTGTTCAAATAATTTTTGTAAAATTATCCCAATAACAATTTTTATTATACTTTTATTTTATTCTAAAAATTTATATTTATCACAGGATCAGTTTCTTTTCCCTAATGGTACTCCAGTTTCGGTGAAGCGTGAGCCTGACATCTCTCCGCAAAAATACACTGCTGATCCACAGGATAATCACAACTTACTAAACATTCCCCTAAATGTACAACAACCCTTTCTACCGTTACAACATGCGCAACCACCACCAACGCAACAATCCGAACAACAATTGAATTTAAACATGCCATCGCAAATTTTGGCCACTGATTATCCTGGAGATGCTGAATTTGAAGTCTACATCAATCCACATCATGGAAAGAAAAGTCCGTGGATGGTAGGTTGCATAATATAAAAATTTTAAACAAAAATTTAATTTCTTGTGAAGTATTCAAGCGCATTGGGGAAAATCTTCATCGCAATGAATCAAATCTTCCCCATTGACTTCAAGTGGAAACATCCAAGCGACAACCGCCAGTTGTACGTGCGCGCAACGCCCGTCTACAGCGAAACGCAACACAAGAATCAATTGGTAACACGCTGCATCAATCATGCACACGAGCGTGAAAAATCCAATGAAAACATCCCGGTGGGTATACGCGATCATATCATTCGATGCCAGGAGCGTTCATCTAACTATGGCGGGTCGAAACAAAACCGTCAACATTTATACGTGCGTATACCACTGCTTGCACTGGCACCTGGTTGCGATTCGCGTCAGATGTCTTTTCAATTCATGTGCAAGAATTCATGCACTTCGGAATCCGGCATGAATCGGCGTCCTATTGAAGTGGTGTTTACGCTTGAGGATGAGAACGCCGATGTTCTGGGGCGGCGTATTCTAAAAGTTCGCATTTGTTCTTGTCCGAAGCGCGATAAAGAAAATGAAGAGAAAGCGCATTATCAGAAGGATAGTAGTGAACAGCCGCACGGGAAAAAGAGGAAGCTAGAGAAGAAACAACCTTTGAGTTCTTCACAGGAGTTGAGTGATACGAAGATTTATAAACTGGAGATTAATATTCCAGGCGGGGAAACATGCGCGCTGTCTTAAAGGCCGCGCATGGCATATTAGCGTCGGAGTTATTGCTGAACAAGGGGGACCAGAGTGCTTACAAGAAGTGTATTGAGGAAATTCAACAGAAAATGAGTATGTTTTTTAATAATCATCTAAATTTCATTTAATTTATTTTTGTTATTTTAGATTCGCCTCTTGATTGAATCAGCTTTACAACTGCCAGTGCACCGATATTTGTGCAAATCTTGATTTAGAGTAATTTGATCTACTTTTTTAAAAACTTTTTCCTTATTTACGCGAATGACGCAAGGTTACTTAAAGACAAAACAGCTATTTATTTTGTGCTAAACGTTGCGTACAACGTCCTTATATTTATGTTTATGTGATGAAGCAGTGGCTTCAGCAATATTACTTTATTCGTTCTTTTATTGCATATGATATGTATATGCACGTAATTAATTTTAATCATATGATGTGCCTTATTATTGCGATCATTATGCTAGTGCTTATTAAAATTTATATTTTCATTTGGGGGTTATTTTTACCAAAAACAAAAGAAGAAAATTTGTGATAATGCGATACTTACATGTTTAATTCCCTATCTGGGTGTGGAAATGTCGCCATAGTTGTAATTTTGTATTGTAAATATTTTATATTTACTTTTAATGTTATCTGTTGTTGAAACTGTCAATTGTTTTGTTTTTAAACTATACTCGAGTGCCACCATCGGTCAAGATGTGAACTAACAAAGGAATTTACAATTCTGACAGTTGGTGTCATATATGTGTTTGGAATATAAATGACCCGATTCCAGCAGCCACAGGTGCCTTAATACATCCAGAGGAACACTAAGTATGCCACACAAATGTAGCTAATTGCGCAGGTAAGTTCAAATCGCGTTAATTATTCGCGCTCAAAATAAAACAATCGAAACGCACGTAACCTAGAAACGCGTACGTTGACGCTACTCAACGTTCCGCCACCTTAGGGCCCCACTTGCGTTCCGATTGTCATTTGTTTGTCTGTTTGTATTTCTATTTTAAATTTACCCTAATGCCATGCGCAGCGCACGATGCCGTTCAAGTTGAAACTGAAGAAGTCGCGCCACTACAGCGTCGTCTCCAAGTCGTTGTTTGTTATCTCTGTGGAGCTGCTTGATGGCACCAACATCGAGTGTACGCTTTCGTCGGAAAGCACCGGACAAGACTGTCTGGACGTGGTCTGCCAGAAGCTGGGACTCAATCAACCCAAATTCTTTGGGTTGCAATACATGAGCAAAGGCAGGGACACTCTGACATGGCTGGAACTTGATAAACCCATCAAAAGGCAGTTGGATAAACATGCAAGACACCTGTGTGTTTACCTGCGCGTCATGTACTATGTCGTTTCGGGTGTGCGTTTGTTTAATGATGAGGTTACCAGGTAATCACTTGCAATAAATGGCATTTGTGTTGTGCAAATGTTTGAACATAGATAAAGGTGAATTATCATGATGGTTTTTTTCAGGAATCATTACTTTTTGCAATTGAAACTTGATGTGATTGAGGGGAAAATCAGTTGCACACCACAGCAGAGTGTTGAGCTGGCTAGTTTTTGTATGCAGGCGGAGTTTGGGAACTTTGATGCTGAAAGACATACTGCCCACTATGTAAAAGACTTTCAACTATTTCCAAAGGTAATTAGTTTTGTTTTTTATTAATTTTTATAAACAAGTCATATGCTTTTACTAAGTAAAATAGAATAATTTGTAATGCGGTGTTTGCGTGAGATTCGTACACCATACAAATGACGTCAAGTCGTTGTGTGAATAGTTTGTATGTGTTACTAATAACAAAAATCAAATATTTATTATAATATTTGTCTTATAAGCAAAACTAACCTCAAATTTAATTTAATTTGACAGTTGTGTTCGAAAATTTTGCTTGTAGGTTATGCAACTTTACTTGCACACGTATTATATTCACTAAAATCACCTCTGCACATTTAATACAAAATAAGCGTTCTCCGTTCGAATGTTTTAACTCAAAACAAATATTTCATAGTATTAGCACAGCAAAATAGTTTCCACCGTGATTTCTATTGCTAAGAAGTGCATGGGAACGCGGGCGTCCATTGTTATACCCCTCCGTCCATTTTGCATTCATGCGGCGTCCTTAATTACACTTAATTCAATTAGCACACAATGCGCGTCGACTTGACTTGTCTCTCATGATTCAACACTCACTCCGGAATCAACATTTTTTCTTGCGATGCAACGCCGTACGATTTCTTCAGACTTGCGGACGTTTCTACAACTTTATCATTTCTAGTGCTTCACCGATCCGGAGTACTTGGATAAACTCACTGACGCCGCCATCAGGCAACACGCCGCACTACATAATATCCAACAGGGAACAGCGGAGGAATATTACATTTGTGCATGTCAACATCTTGATGGTTACGGTCAAGAGACCTACATAGCTAAAGATCGCGCAAATGAAGATGTCGTCGTTGCTGTTTCACTCACAGGAGTTACTATTAATTATCCAAGTGGTAGAAATGGTAAAAGTTACGGGTAAATATTAAATTAATATAGTATTTTAGTTTTTTCATAAATTTTTGTTGTAGTTGGGTTGATATACGTAATGTAATCAATAACAAGCGTGATTTTACGATTGAATCCGTGGTAGATGGCGATAAAGGTGAAGTTTTCCACTTTCCGGACGTAGAAAGTGCGAAAAACGCTTGGGTATTCTGTGTCCTACAGCATACATTTTATCGCGCGCATGAAAACCTCGTAGAACCAGACAGTAAACCAAACCTACCGAATTTTCAACAAACTGCCGCCGTAGAACCGAAGCGCGTGCGCGATAGCTACGAAGACATTGCCTACGAACAATCAATCGGTAGTCTTGCACAACGCGCACAATCAACATCTTGCCTCGATCTTAACACCAGCAACTCAGACGCGGATCAACTACGCAGTTTACTGCCTTCGTATCGACAAGCGCCCGACTACGACACGGCCGTACAACAAAAGTATCGTAACTCAGCGAGTGCGCTCACCACGCCTGGTCCAATGCAACGAAACACTGCCTGTGTGTACAGCTCCCAGCCGGAGATCCGTGAGTACGCGTCACATCTCTGTTATCCAGATGTCACACACAATAACATCGAACAAGCGCAGCAGGCGCAAGGTAAAATGGCGAACCTTTACAATTCGGGTTACACTCAATCGCAGAGATTGTCTGATAATCAAGGTTATCAGGAAATGTCCGAACAAATGCGCCTCTTGCACTTGTGTAAACCCCCGCCGCCATATCCCAACAATCGAATCAGTAGCAATTCAACACCGGACCTCGCCGGTATTGGCATGTCACAAATGTCAAAACCAACAGCACGTTTATCAACAACATCGTCTCGGGAAGTAGTCCTGATTTAGTGTCGATGAACCAACACTATCGCTACCATCAGCCTATGTATAATAACGTACATAGATCGCAAAGTTATTTACCACCGCAACATGGAACTTATGAAAACCTTGCATCGATATTTAATAATAATATGTTAGGTCGACCGCATCAAGCCGTCATCGTCGAGAATCCTAACATAACCAAACATATTAAGAAAGTCTACGATGAACACGGGAATATTATCTATTGCATGCCTTCTAACATGAAGCAAATCCTCGAGGATAATCAATTATCGACGCAGGGTTTTGTCGTCACGCGCAATGCGATCGTACCGAATTCAACGCCGACCGACTTGAATAATCTCCACAGCTCACAGGAACCCATCTATGAGAATATCCCGCTTGCATGGCAGCATGAGAATAACTCCAATGGCGGTATGCGTGCGAGAACGCAGAGTATTCAATCCGCCCCGGAAGTGACGCCGAGTAAGTCACAACTGGTTACGAACGTTGCAACATCGTCGCCGAAAGAGAATGTCTACGCGAATATATCGCACACGAGCGTGAATGTGGAATCGGGTAATACTTCCGCAATGGCACCGCCTCCGTTGATTGTCAACGTTGCGGACTCGCCGAACGCAATTAGTCGCACGAACACTTTCATCATCAATAAAAACTCCTCCTCGTTGAATTCGTCGACGTCGAGTCGGCATTTTACGGATTCGGGGAATATAAGCAATGATACGTTCACGACTGATGCCAGTACGACGTCGAGCGGTGGCGGTACGGGTCAGAAAAAAAAGAAACGCTGGGCGATACTCATGGGACGCAGTAAAAGTAGCGAAAAGTGAAGAGTGCTACCCTGGGTCGAGAGAAGGAAAAAGATAAAAAGGATAAGAATCAAAGTAATAATCGCCATAGGTGGTCGACGGGATTGCCGAGATTACCGCCGGCACTACCGCCATCTATCAGTAAAGAAACAATGGTAAAACTTGTGTTTTGTAAGTTTTATGCTAAAATTAACAAAATGTGTAATATTTTAGTGTCAGTTATTGGAAAACAAACTCGCGGATAATCAACTCTTCTTTGAGTTTGATAAAATACCGAAAAAGAAGCAAAATGCTGATTTTCACACAGCGCACTTACAAGAGACGCAGCCATTGAATCGCTTCCAGGATGTTTTGCCCTACGAAGACAATCGGATTAAATTAACGCCCACTAGAGATAACAAATATGGTTATATCAACGCATCTCATATTACTGTGAGTAGATTTTATTATTTTTTAAACCAACTAATAATTTATATTATTTGTGTGAATTTCAGGCGACAGTTGGTAGTAAACAACGTTTTTATATCGCCGCACAGGGCCCAACACGCGTCACACTTCCGCATTTTTGGCAGTGCGTGTGGGAATCCGAAGTTTACTTAGTGGTGCAACTGACTGAAGCGAATGAGGACTTGACTTACCTTCCCGATTCACACGGTAGGAGTATTGACGTCGGACAGGATTACCAAATATTGTGGGAGTTTTCCCAAAAGACTGGTCACTGCGTGACGAGTAAGGTACGTCTGTGTCACGTGATGACGCGTAGATATCGCACGCTCTGGCATCTACACTACACCGATTGGGGTGAGGCGGGTTGCCCACGTTCGGTGTCACATTTTCTTGGTTTCCTCGAAGAACTGCAATCTGTGCAGGTGCATTCAATGGTTGAGATTCCCCCTGGTCATAATAAGAACCCGCCGGTGTTGGTGCACTGCACGGCTGGCGTGGGTCGGACGGGATTGACTGTTTTATGCGATCTTTTGCTATATACAGTCGATCATAATCAAGTAAGTTATATTTATTTGATTTCAAATTTAAAAAAAAAATAATTTTATTGATTGATTTTGTTATTGTTTCAAGGAAGTGGATATTCCAAGAGTAGTCGGACTGCTGCGCCATCAACGCCCGCATATGGTGCAAACGATAGCGCAATATCGTTTCGTTTACTCGCTGCTAATACACTACATCAAGCAGAATCGCTTGATTTAAACACGCGTCGTGCCATTACTCAGCTTTTAACGCTCTCGGATTATCGTCGTCGGATTGCGCCACCCTTCCAAGTGTTGTACACACATGCTCCTCTAACGCTTGTTTGACGCCCAGTATTTTACTATGAAGATGATTATTATGTACTTAACGATTAGATTTAAGTCGGACACGCAGCTATGCCTTTGTGCTTTAAATAATTGACGCGAATTTTAGGGAATATTACAAAACGGCTGTGTATATATTCGTTTTTAAGCGCATGGAGATTGAAAGAAATTAACAAATATCTATATATTGTATTGTAACATGTAGAGATAAGGTTATTGCCTTGTTTTTTAAATCAGTATGACATTGTGATGCCAGTGCCTTAATTTTAATGTAATATTTTAGCTGATAAAATAAAGATGTGAATCAAGATTCGGGAAACTTGTTTTCGACGCGGAAAAAAGTTACAAGTAACACCAGTTGTCAGCTTTGGACAGCTCAATAAACAACGAAAAATCTTCTCGAATTAACCTCCAAGAGCAATGAGAATGTTCAGCCGCGCGGACTTTTTAAAACGCTTTAAGCTTACTTATTTTTTATTGTCAACATAAACATGGCGGCGGTTAAAATAGTTTTCTATGATTGGACGCATGATATTTTGGTGGAAACTTATGTTTTGCCCAAAGATGCTGAATTGGAAAGTGCATATAAATGTAGTTTTATTATTTATATTGTTGTTTAATAATATATTAAACTCGTTTCCGTACGAAGATTTACGTTAAAGAACCTACTTGCGATACCTGGTGGAACAATTTTCAAACTTCACTTGGTGATTTCGTCATAACTGGTCATAACCCTGCACGAAACTGCAAACAAACAAGAATCCACAGAACGAGTAGAATTTATGAATTTATATCTATGTATATATGTAGATAATGGAGTGTAACACGTATGATCCAACAAATCCGTATTTTATCCATGATTTTAAGAAAATTTGTGGCATATGCAACAAGAAATATTCGAAAAATATAACGTTTTCAATGAACTCTGTGATTACTGCAACAACTCCCATTAAAGCTTATGCAGTATTGGAGTCAGTTTCCAAGGTAACCACTTTAGATAAGTTTAGATAAGTACTACTCTAAGTTTGCCGTTTTTAGTTTAAATTCAATGAGAAAGGTCCACAAAATCTTTGTTTGGGTTGTTTCAACAATGTAACAATGGCATATAAGTTTCAACAGATGTGCAATCAGGCACAACAATATTTTGAAGATTATTTAAAACACCAAAAACAACTTCTGCCAAGTGCAATGAAAAGTGATGATAATCAAGATTGCTTAATCTTACCAGAAGAAATAAATGAAAAGGTTAAACTTGAAGATTCTGCTTTGAAAGTTCTTCCAACTAATAATGAGCTGTGTAAAAATTTACCTCCAAATAAAAAGCTTTTACAAAAGTCAAAGAGACGCACCATAGCTGCTTGCAAAGTCTGTAACAAGCAGCTTCTGGATAGAAATATGAAGCTGCATATGCTTATCCATACTGGTGAGAAGCCTCACAAATGTAAGCAATGTAGTGCCAGTTTTACGTATGTTTTTCTTGATAAGATTTTAATTAAACAATTAAATAACTTGGATTTTAGGCAGCCATCAGCATTGAAGTATCACACAGACATGCATGAGAACAAAAGGAACTATATGTGTAAATTTTGTGGGAAAGCTCTTCTAACCAGCAGTCAATTGATTGTGCATGAAAGGAGACATACTGGAGAAAAACCACACAAATGCCAGTAAAGTATCTTTGCAATTTTCAACTTTTTTTACATTTGAACATTAGTTTGATTTGTTTGTATGTTAAATAGGTCATGTAACCAGGCATTTACAACATCTGCAGCACTCAAAGTGCATATGGTGGTGCATACTGGAGAGAAGGCTTTCACATGCCAATTCTGCGCGAAAAGCTTTAACCGCGATACGACTCTACGAACGCACATTAAAATTCACACAGGGGAGAAACCACATGTGTGTATAATATGTAACGCTAGTTTTATTCAGGCCCACTGTTTAAGGAGCCACTTATTGAATCATGCTAAGCATCAATTTGTTGTTTCAACAATTGACCAAACTGCAACTGAATGAAAACATAAGCAGTTTTTTAAATTGTGATGTGATATTATTGTGCTCCACCATAACCATATTTGATAAATGTGTTTTGAAGTTGATAAATATTTTCAAAAGTTAGATGGCGCTACGATGTACGGTTTTGCATTAAATATTGCTTGTTGGTGGTAGTGAGTGCACACCGTGTCCGTGAGGATTTCGCGATTTCACGCAAAAGAGATAAGTTTGTTTACCTGCAGGTATCGAATCTTTATTTCGTGGAATCAAAACACACCGTTGCTGTTTATTATATTAGCATCGTAAATTTAAGCAAACATTCTTCAATTCTTTCATGAATATAACTAACAATTTTATATTAATTCTAATATTTTTTTATTATCAGCAAATGATTACGTACTAATGTGTTATCTGGTAAACGAGAAACGATGCATGTTCAAATTAAATGTCACTTAAATATTTATTAATATCTTAGCTATTGCAATTCGCGCACAAGGTCGCGTACCATCGACGCGCAGGTCTTGTGCACTTTTTGCTTTCTTATCATATACTGTCCCGTCGTTGTTTACGTAGTTTCAGCATAGATTGCGGTGAATTGCAGCCAGTTTCGTGCCGGTCTCTGGTTGTTTCGGACGTATTTTGTGCGATTCGTATCGTTTATCTGGACTTTCCAATTCGTATTATATTCGATCATCAATCGACTATTTAATCTTAACTTGATGTTAGTAACTTTACTACAGTTATTTATTTGCGCGTAAGCGTATCGCGGCCATGTTGATTTATTCATCAATTGGATGATCCATCGTGCTGCTGTAAGTAACTTTTAACTCAACAGCCCAGATTGTTTGTTTTTCTCCGCTGTGTGAATATAATATTACTTATGTTTTTTTATTTACAGTATTTGCCGTGCTTTGGAGTCTGATGAGTTCTGCATTGGTAAGTTTATAATTCAATTATATATTTCGTTTTATGTTCTGCGTCCATCATTACTTTGCATTTATGTGTTTTCTTTTTCGTCGCGGTCCACCGCCTTCTACTAAAGCGTTAGCATTAAATAATTTAATTATATTTTGTTATTGGGAGTAACGTCTTACAAACTTGGGCGCGGGGTCCAAATATGCAGAATTAAATTCTCTATCCAGTTGTATTTAATTGTTGCAAGAAATGCGCTTATTCAATACGATTTATGATTTAGTATTGGAAACAAACTTGTAAATGCAGCTTTAAATTTGAACATCACGCCTCATATAGGTTAGATTTATTGCATTTGTATACAAAACTGTAATATTTATTTAAATTTTGCCTTATTAATAATAATTATTTTAAATTAACAATTAAGCTAGCTTATCTTATCGGGAATTGTCTCTAGAATGGTCTCTGCGATTTGTACCTATTTATCTCTTTTAGTTTACGAGATATTTGCGATTGAATAAAATGGGCGAAAATTGAAAAATGTCACTTTTTTGCACTTTTAGTCGCGTTTTTCGACCTTTTACTGTAGGAAATATAACTATTGTATATTTTTATCTGATCGAGAATTTTCCAATCTTTCATAATCAGCAATTTGTTGGTTGCTACCGCCTTTAGTTTAAGAGATATTAATTATCAAAAATCGTCGAAAAAAGTATCTAGCACCCCCTCCCTTAGCAATTTTTTCTTAAGAATTAAAATTTTATCTCTCAGATTTCCGCTTAATCTAGCCTTCTTATATAGAATAGCCCGTAGAATAGTCTCTGCGATTTGTACCTATTTATACCTATTTATCTCTTTTAGTTTACGAGATATTCGTGATTGAATAAATCTCCCTAAATCGAAATTTATTGCAAGAAAATTCCGTAACGCGAGTTATATTCAAAGTTGTGTGTGTGCGCGCCGTAGTACTCGTTGCGCTAGGAATTGTAGTTTTTTTCTTATAACACACAAACGCGGTGTCTCAATAAGTTCGAAGTAATTTTCCCTGATGCGGATTTTAATTATGTATCTCCGTGAAGTGAAATTTATTGCCAGAAAATTCCGTAACGCGAGTTATATTGAAAGTTGTGTGTGTGCGCGCCGTAGTACTCGTTGCGCTAGGAATTGTAGTTTTTTTCTTATAACACACAAACGCGGTGTCTCAATAAGTTCGAAATAATTTTCCCGGATGCGGAATTTAATTCTGTATCACCATGTATTAAAATTTGTTGACACAAAATTCCGTAACGCGAGTTATATTGAAAGTTGTGTGTGTGCGCCGTAGTACTCGTTGCGCTAGGAATTGTAGTTTTTTTCTTATAACACACAAACGCGGTGTCTCAATAAGTTCGAAATAATTTTCCCTGATGCGGAATTTAATTCTGTATCACCCTGTATTAAAATTTGTTGACACAAAATTCCGTAACGCGAGTTATATTGAAAGTTGTGTGTGTGTGCCGTTGTACTCGTTGCGCTAGGAATTGCAGTTTTCTTGTTATAACACACGAACGCGGTGTCACAATAGGTTCGAAATTATTTTCCTGATGCGAAATTTAATTCTGTATCACACTGTATTAAAATTTATTATTGTTTATTGAAGTTGATAAATATTTTCAATAGTTAGATGGCGCTACGATGTACGGTTTTCCATTAAATATTGCTTGTTGGTGGTAGTGCGTGCACACCGTGTCCGTGTGCGATCACGCGATTTCGCGCAAGAGATAAGTTTGTTTACCTGCAGGTATTGAATCTTTATTTCGTGGAATCAAAACACACCGTTGCTGTCTATTATATTAGCATCGTAAATTTAAGCAAATATTCTATAATTCTTTCATGAATATAACTAATAATTTTATATTAACTCTAATACATTTTATTATCAGCAGATGATTACGGACTAATGTGTTACCTGTTAAACGAGAAACGTTCAAATTAAATATCACTTAAATATTTATTGTAAAATCTGGCAAACTGTCAGCATAAGAAATCAGAATTACGCAAATCGAATTTTAATTTTTTATTACTTTTACTAATCTAAATTTCGAAGCTACTGTGTCTTTTATAAATGCCAATAGCATGGACTAAAAATTGTAAAACAAACTTGTATTGTTTATTTCTATACAAGCGTGAACCTTCGATACAAGAATTGTGTTTGTTTGAACACAATATACACTTTCTTATTGCATTGCCGTGTATCGTCGTTGCCATCACCCCATGCCTCATATTGCTGCATTTTAGTTTAGTTTTGATCCCAGGTATAGTGTGGTTTTCTACCACAAGTTTTGAAAAATTTGGAAAAGAAACAAACTTCCACCCTCGTGGTGCTCAGAATACTAGTCACTTTTACCATTATTTTCCAAATACGATTGAAAATTATAAAATTTCAGATTATACTTTATTGAACAAGATAATAAAATATATTAACTGCGTCAAGTAAACGTTTAACAGTAGTCGTTTTATCGTGTTTTTTCCGGGATTTGTCAATTGCCAAGATAATGGCAATAATAATGGTTAAACTGTTTTTAAATATAGACTGAACTTAATTCTGGTTTTAGAATACATTATTTATACGAACGAGTAGTACGTTCATAATATAAATTTTTTCATTGCATTAGACTGTATTCACAACATGAATGGTTCATAGTTCTCACTCTTGACTATTATCGGTGTTTCTGTACGAACAACTTGCTTTTTTATCGAGTTGCAGCGCTCAGCCTTGCTTGTGCTATTTCCTCCTTAGTCGATCGTGCGTTGCGGCGTGGTGCGCACGCGTTTACCTACTTGCGCGGCGGTCTTCGTGGCGACTTATCGCGTTTCTTGTGATTTTAAATCGGTAGTTGAATTGGTTAGCAAAGATAGAATTTAGAATTAACAGACGAGTGCGGCGTGCAGTTAATGCTATCGCTATCGCGCGTGGAACCCAGAATTGCGTGATTTTACTATGTACGCACGTGTTTGCTGTCGGCGGTCGGATATCTTCCGTCGGCTCAGAATTCCAAGTGGATTTGTTTTGTGTATTTGTTTAATTGTTAATTTGAATAAACATCATTTACACTATGGGTGCCTCTTGTGGATTATTTTACCTGCGAAGGCGTAAGAAAAATGTGTAACGGAAATACTACATTCTATTAACATTTGACGAATGAAACAGCAAATGTAGATTCATCACCAGATAAGGAAAAGCGATCAGTTAAATAACTAAACACTTTAAAAATAAGTAGAAATAGTTGTCACATTTTTCCGTTTTTTGTGCCTGATTGCTGCTTTTGTATCTTTATTCTGCTTCTAATCGGCTTTAGGTGTTTGCTAATTTGTGTGTTCAAGAAATCTTACCCTAGTATTGCTTTAAAAGATGTCAAATAAAATTATAATTATTAGTAAATGTAATATTTATTATGTTTCTCTCCCTGCACATATCACTTCTAGATAGGAGGAAACACTTAATAATACTTCTATGTTTGATTTTCTTTTTGTATCACCCTGTATATAAATTTTCCTTAATGACCAGTGAAAAAGTAGCAAACTTTATTGTTTTCGGGGGTATTTCTTTTTTAATTGAATTTTTTTATGATAACACCTTGTATATAAATTTTCTTTTATGTTCAGTGAAAAATGAGAAATCTTTATTGTTTTGGGGTGATTTTCTTTTTTAATTGAAGATTTTCTTTTGATAACATTCTGTACATTCTTTTCCACTGATGTCACGCAAAAACAAGGCGCAATTTGCTATTCTCCAGTGTTATCTTTTGTAATTTCGCAGCCGTTAGCGTAGCGCGGCTATGCAGGTCATAAACATGTTTTAAAATTATGTCATATGTCTTGTAACTATTGAACATACAAGTTATGAACTTATATTGTATTTAGTTTGTTAATAAAGAAATGTTAAAGGCAATGGCTGTGTCTTATGAGTTGTGCACCCCTTCCTTCATTCATTTCAGGTACAGGTCCCAACTTGTAAAGAATTTCTCAGTGTAGTAGTCGGCTCTGAGAGCTGCGACACCTAGAAACATCTCTACAAGTTCTTATAAGGAGTTCTCCCACACGGGGGATGATCCCCACTATAAAAATTGTTAAGGTATCCTGTATGATTTGTGTACTCCATCTTTTATTTCAGCTGCAGGTAAAAACTTGTAAGAATATTTTGAAGTGTCCTTTTTCTTGAGGCGACTTAAAAATTAGAAATATTTTTACAAGTTTTTAAAAGGATGTCCTTATAAGGAGTTCCCTCTCTCTGGGGATGATCCCCCACCATAAAAATTGTTGATATGCCTGAGTATTTCGGGGATGAAGCGCAGAGACGTCGTAGCTGTAGGATGGGCCGGGAGCAATGGACGCATCGAAGCAGTGGGCGATCGACCATACACTGTCTTATAACGACACGTGCCAAAAAATTTAAAAATTCTGTCACCCCTATTCTCTTTTCTTCCTGTACTCTCTTCTCTATTCTCTTCTCATCTTACTTCTCCTCCTATTCTCTCCTGCTGCTGCTACTCTCTCTACTTCTTCTTGCTCTTCCACCCATCTCTTCTACTTATTCCTATTATTGTTGATCCGTACTTTGCTCCTCTTCAACTTATTTCTAACATTTGAATCTATATTTTTGTGGTATGCAACCCACATTTCGTAAATTTCTTATTATTTAATAAAACTGCCTTCTACAACTGAGATTCGAACCATGAACCACGAATCTCTAGCATGCTAGCATATGCACATGCGAGCTGAGCCACCGAGCTCTCATATCAAGGGCTATTTGATTCAGGTATAAATGTTGTTGTTTTTGTCACTTTTTTAAAAACAACAACATTTATGTACCTGTAAGTCGCATTTCTAACACGTGCAATCAAATATGGCCTTTAAATCTAATTCTGAAAACGACAAAAAGGAAACATAGACAAATATACTAGCAAATCTAATATTAAAAGTATAGTTTATTGCAACTCATACAAACACAAGAGTACATGTTGAATTTTAAAATTATTTGTTAAAATTGAATTATTTTCAGAGTATTTACTTATTCAACGGTTACCTCGCTTTTCCTTAACGTCTGATAAATTTATTTCGTCCATGAATCATCTTCACTAATTGTTTAATTCATCGAATGTTAATATTCCACACGGGGACAAACAGTGTTTAGTTTTACAAATTAATATCATTAGGTAAATAAAACCACTGGGACCGACTTCTTAGACGACACAAGATATCCGACGGCCGACGGCAAAAATATGCGCACATTGAAAAACTACACAATTCTGGCTTCCACGCGCGATAATTTATTAACTGCACGCCGCACTAGTTCGTTAATTCTAAATGTTATCTTTGCTGATGGATTCTAATTCAACTACCAACTTAAAATCACAAGAAACGCGCAAACCACTTACGAAGATCGACTTGTATACAAAGCACGTGTGTACCGAACAACATCGCACGATCGACTAAACAAGGAAAAGATATAGCAGGCTACGTCAACAAAGGAGATATGAAAATGATACGAATTTAAATACTCACAATTGAATGCGGGCACGATTGTACACCGAGGTCACGTTCAACTCCTTGACATCTAAAAAACAAACACCAATCAGATGCGCTGTGAGTTCTTTAATTCATTTTTAATTCGTTAAATTAACTAAAACTTAATAGCACCTAAATATAAAGATAACAAAAATAAGATCTAATATGGCAACAATATATTACTTACTATGTAAATTTTCTAATCACAACAGTGTTCAACAAATGTTGTATCCACAAAAAATACAAACATTTCACGATAAAGGGGAAAAATTACCATTTTATGCAAATTTTCGCGGGCAACAATTAAATACCACCCGACGGAGAATTTAATTCCGCTTCCCTGAATTACTACTAGATCAACAAACACGAAAAACACAAATTAAAAAAGAGATAAAAATTATATTTGTATGCAAATTTTGCGGGACAGGACGAATTCCTGCAACAATTAAATATCACCCGACGGAGAATTTAATTCCGCATCTCTAAACGCCACGCTGAAGTTACTACACCGCCTAGATCGCGTGCAAACCCGAAAAAACACAAACATTTCACAAAAAGGGTTGAAAAATTACACTTATATGCAAATTTTTGCGGGTTGCAGGTCGAATTCCTGCAACAATTAAATATCACCCGACGGAGAATTTAATTCCGCATCTCTAGACGCCCCGCTGAAGTTACTACACCGCCTAGATCGCGTGCAAACCCGAAAAAACACAAACATTTCACAAAAAGGGTTGAAAAATTACACTTATATGCAAATTTTTGCAACAATTTTGAGAATTTAATACCGCATCTCTAGACGCCCCGCTGAAGTTTCTACACTGCCTAGATCGCGGGTTGCAGGTCGAATTTTCCGGGTTTCATGCAACAATTAAATATCACCCGACGGAGAATTTAATTCCGCATCTCTAGACGCCCCGCTGAAGTTACTACGCCGCCTAGATCGCGTGCAAACCCGAAAAAACACAAACATTTCACGAAAAGGGTTGAAAAATTATATGCAAATTTTCGCGGGTTGCAGGTCGAATTCCTGCAACAATTAAATACCACCCGACGGAGAATTTAATTCCGCATCTCTAGACGCCCCGCTGAAGTTACTACTCCGCCTAGATCGCGTGCAAACCCGAAAAAACACAAACATTTCACGAAAAAGGGTTGAAAAATTACACTTATATGCAAATTTTTGCGGGTTGCAGGTCGAATTCCTGCAACAATTAAATATCACCCGACGAAGAATTTAATTCCGCATCTCTAGACGCCCCGCTGAAGTTACTACACCACCTAGATCGCGTGCAAACCCGAAAAACACAAACATTTCACGAAAAGGGTTGAAAAATTACACTTATATGCAAATTTTCGCGGGTTGCAGGTCGAATTCCTGCAACAATTAAATACCACCCGACGGAGAATTTAATTCCGCATCTCTAGACGCCCGCTGAAGTTACTACGCCGCCTAGATCGCGTGCAAACCCGAAAAAACACAAACATTTCACGAAAAAGGGTTAAAAATTACACTTATATGCAAATTTTCGCGGGTTGCAGGTCGAATTCCTGCAACAATTAAATATCACCCGACGAAGAATTTAATTCCGCATCTCTAGACGCCCCGCTGAAGTTACTACACCGCCTAGATCGCGTGCAAACCCGAAAAAACACAAACATTTCACGAAAAAGGGTTAAAAAATTACACTTATATGCAAATTTTCGCGGGTTGCATGTCGAATTCCTGCAACAATTAAATACCACCCGACGAAGAATTTAATTCCGCATCTCCAGACGCCCCGCTGAAGTAACTACGCCGCTCAGATCGCGTGCAAACCCGAAAAAACACAAACATTTTACGAAAAAGGGTTAAAAAATTACACTTATATGCAAATTTTCGCGGGTTGCATGTCGAATTCCTGCAACAATTAAATATCATCCGACGGCAAATTTAACTCCGCATCTCTAGACGCCCCGCTAAAGTTACTACACTGCCTAGATCGCGTGCAAACCCTAAAAAACACAAATATTTCACGAAAAATGATTGAACAATTACACTTAGGTATATGCAAATTTTTACGGGTTGCAGGTCGAATTCCTGCAACAATTAAATATTACCCGACGGAGAATTTAATTCCGCATCTCTAGACGCCCCGCTGAAGTTATTTCAATTCCTAGATCGCGTGCAAACCCGAAAAAACAGAAACATTTCACGAAAAAAGATTGAAAAATGACATTTATATACAAATTCCTGCAACAAACATCTGCCACCCAACGAAGAATTTAATTCCGCATCTCTAGACGTCGCGCTAAAGTTAATGAGCTGCCAAGATCGCGTGCAAACTCAAAAAAATACAAACATTTCACGATAAAGGGTGATAAAATCACAATTTTATGCAATTTCGCGGGTTACAAGTCGAATTCTGCAACAAACAAATACCAACCGACCCAGATGCGCGGAATTTAATGAACCGCTAAGAACGCGTGCAAACCCTAAAAGAACTAATAAAGCAATAAAGGGTGAAAAAATCACAATTAAAAAGTTAAATGAAAGTAAACTTTTATTTGATGCTACTTACTCCTTTGTTCTTCTATCAATAAAGGACTAAGGCGCACAAACAAGTTTCCGCAAATTGAATGTAGAATTGTTGATACGCATTTCTTTACTATTCCACGCAGAAATTCCAAATGTACTCACTTGTATTCACGTCAAACACATAAATTTTATTTCATTTTTCTTCAGTAAGTATCCATAGTCACCGGAACATATCCGGCGGACGCCACGCGCGCTCCGCACAGAATCACTCAAATCATTCGTTGTGCGCTGCAGTGGGCTGATACTACTAAATCCCCCTGATCGTCAATTGATTTAAGTAATGCTACAAAATATCAAGAATCGCGAGAAAATGTCATCACGTTTTATTAATGAACAAAACACGTGCGCACTCGCAACAGCGTTCAACCGACTAAGCCGAACTAAGCAAGACAGATTGATAACAGACCCGCAGTTGGAGGGGCATTGTTATATGCATACGACAGAAATGCAATTACAAATATGTTGCAAGTTATTGTTAAACATAAAAGTTGTGTATAAAAGCGACGCATCGCAACTCAGTGCACAAAAAAACAAACACAAAAATTAAGTATGAATTTAAACCAAATCGATGGAAGCGTCATCGGACCGTGCGATTTGGGTATGGCGGAACAAAACATTAAAGATAAACAGCGTCACGAAGTATAGATACACTTCTATACTTCGTGGCCAGCGTCATCAAGTTTTAAAACTTTGAAATTACCCAGAAATCTGCATTACGTCTGGTAATTTTAACATTTAATTCACTTTCCATTAAATTATTTACGAAAATTATAAACAAATTCAATACTTACAATCTGATGAAAAAATCGTTGTCCTAGGACATTTCGTTCGCCCGTTAGACACCAAAAACTAGCAAAAATCAGTACATCGAAGCACAAAAATTATCTTTTTCCAGATTTCCCGTGTGCCAATCACATAGATTATAAATGTAAATGATATACAAATTCAATACTTACAATCTGATAAAAGAATCGTTGTCCTAGGACATTTCGTTCGCCCGTTAGACACCTAAAACTACCAAAAATCAGTACATCGAAGCACAAAAATTCCCTTCTTTGCAGGTTTCCCGTGTGTTAATCATACCAATTAAAATTTTCAAAATGGCCGAAATTTCGGTTTCGGTTTCTGTTTCGGCTGTGAAACCAGTTTCGGTCGGACTCTACTTACTAGTATTATAAAGTGGCAGAAATTAAATTGCTTTATATAACCTAAGTTCAAATTGGAACAAGCTTGGACTCGCTTGGTTAATTTATAAAGTAAACATGGATCTTCACATAGTTGACCCTAAAAACCTTTATTTTCGCTATGATTGCAACAAACTCTGTGCAATTTGCCTCAAGAAAATCAACAAAACAACCACCTGTTCTATAAGTGCAATGATCCCATCAAAAAGACCTACTGAAGCATACAAAGTACTAGAATCTATTTCAAAAGTAAGTATTCACGTATATTACTTCACATATATTTCTCCTAATTCCCAACAAATTTAGTTTAAGTATTATAAAGATGGTCCACAGTATCTCTGCACTACTTGTTTCAACAATGCTGCATCAGCCTACACATTCCAACAGATTTGCAACAGATCACAAATGTACTATGAAAATTTCATGGCTCACCAAAGGCTTCTATCAGAACAGATTAAAAATACAGAGGAAACAGTATCACATTCAGAAACAACTCAAATAGAGCAACAACAACAACAACATGCAGAGGAAAACAAAACAGAAGAACCCACAGTTGATAGGGGTTTAACACTACCCAGAAAAATGACTGTTTGCAAAGTGTGCAATAAACAATACAGAGTTGATAATATTAAGAAACACATGCGCATTCACACAGGTGAACGGCCTTACAAATGCAATTTATGCGAACGGAGTTTCTCGTAAGATTATGATATAAAACTCACCAAAAACACTACTTATGGATTTGATTTTATTTCAGACAATGGCATACATTGAAGAGACACATTGACTTGCACAATAACAAACGCGATTTTATATGCAACTTCTGTGGCAAAGCATTTTTAACAAAAATTGGTTTAGATGTGCATGAGAGGATACACACCGGCGAACGACCATATGAATGCAAGTATGTTAATGATAAATGCATTAAAAAACGTTTTTAATACTCAAAATAAAATTTGTAGAATCTGTGGAAAGACCTTCATAGGTTCTGGTGGTGTAGCTAAACACATGGTGGTACATACAGGTGAAAAAGCGTTCACATGTGAATACTGCGCGAAAAGTTTCAACCGTCGGAGTACTCTACGTGTGCATATAAAAATCCACACTGGAGAAAAACCTCACGTGTGTGAATTATGCGGCAAAGGGTTTATTCAAGCCCATTGTTTAAGAAGTCACTTACAAAATCATTCTACTGATGGATTACAGCAACAACCTGTGTTAGAAGATCCACTACAGGTTGTAGGACATTCATAAAAATCAATATATCTTCCAAAACATGTAAATAATAACTGGCGATATTTTATACTCATAGTAATTGCTTAAATTAATATTTTATTAAATCACCAGCTTGAATATTCAAGTAAATTCCGAGGGGTCACATGATTTAATTATTTTGACGTGATAACGTCTTTAAAATCGTTTTAGTCGGGTGACATGTTCAGAAACTTGTGTCACGAGGCCGATCGCTATAACGAGAGAGAGACGGACCGATCTCCCGTCTCATCTCGAGCGCTGCCAGTCATTCCGTGAAACTTGTCACGCGGAATCCACACGAGCGGAGGCAGGCATAGCGTTCGAGTGAGTGGACCGATCTTCCGTCTCTCTCACTCTAGCGGCATACAAACGAATGGAGATTTTCTCGTGCGGTTAAGTTTTCGTTGAATGTTTAACAGTGAAACAAAATGTGAAGTGCAAGTGAAGTGTTACAACAATTGCAACAAAAAAACTTATATCACCAATAAGACGTTATTACGTAAACATCTCGATCGTAAACCTACTTTACAAACAACCATTCTGTTTTTAATTCAATCTACTTCTTCATTTTTGTCCACACATTTAGAATCTTTTGTTTTCTTCTTCGGTTCTCCCTTACACCAGCGCAAAACATGCGTGTGCAAATTAACAGCCCGCCCGAACTTGAATCCGCACGCCGGGCATTCAAACTTACGCTCTTTTGTGTGTTTCACCATGTGTATATCCAGATTACTCCGGCTGATACATGCATGTTGACAAATGGAACAAACGAAACGCTTGTCGTTATTGTGTATTTTCATGTGGATAGTATAGCCATGAGAAAATCCGAACTTTTTACCGCAAAACCTGAAAAATATTCATTCAATAAACATTTTTAATCAGTTTTTATAAATCGGTTATTTACTCGCAGCAATATGGCTTCTCTCCGGTATGTATCCTGACATGTTCCTTTAAATACGTTTTCCGTTTGAATCCTTTATTGCACGTTGGGCATACGAATGGCCGCACATCCGTGTGCGTCTGTTCATGCTCGCGCAACAAACACGCTTTTCTAAACTGCCGTCCACATGTGGCACAAACGAATGGTTTCTCACCGGTGTGTATACGCATATGTCCCGGTAAAGCCTGTGCGCACACCGTTACCTTGCAGACTTCACATTCCACCCGCTTACTTTTTGGTTTATTCTCCGTGTGCGTTTGCATGTGCAATTTTATGTATGACTTTGTATATTTTCCATTACAAGTCGGGCATTCTAGAAGTTGGTGCTTGCGAAAACGATAAGCACCGCGTTTGTGAACAACAATTTCGTTGGTTAATCTTGGAGCATCCGCAGCGTTATCTTCCTTATTGCTATTTGTTTCAACTGAAGTATCACATTCACTTAAAGGATCCAAAAATGATGCTTTTATATTATTAATTGAGTTAATCGTGTTTGTAAATGTATTGTTATAATTATAATCAATGCGCTCGATTTCGTCTTTAATTGTTACATCTGGAAATAATATTTCAATGTTAATTTTAGTTTTATTCTATCAGACCGTGATTCCCTATTTGATCCTCATTTACCTGAAACGTCAATAGAGTCCACAGACTCTTCTTTTAGCTGTAGTAATGTAACCATTGGAACTTCATCTAAATGAACATCCGTGGAACAACTCATGACTTATATTTTATAGTATATACTGATTGTATTAATTAAATCATTTAAAACTAAAAAGTAAACGCGATTTTGTTCAGTAAATCTTGAAATTCGACCGACAACAAAATTTTGAGGTTGATAAACGCACCAACTGCGCAAGCGCACTGCAGGAAGTCTTTAGTTGATCCTTATTGTTACTTTTAATTTGTTTTTAAACAAATATATTATATTAAGTCATAAATTATGTATATACAAAAATGTATTTAAATATTTATATCATATTTATAGCGAAACTTTTAAAAAGAATAAAGCTGTGTTGCCAGCAGCGCAAAACTTAACCATGACAGTCGATCTACCGTCAAACTCCCTTTCCTTTCTACTTTGTACAATTTCGTGGTGCTTCGTCTCTCATCAAGTGCAAGGTGCCGTTCCGTAGACTATCCGTATAGGCGTGTGGTGATTCATTTAACAATCGCACACATTTATTTATTTATCGTAACCATAAGTAAGCTAGGCGACAATGGAGAATTATGATGTTACATTCAATCAACCGGTTGTAATAGATAATGTAAGTCACCGCCAACTGCGATTCTTGCGTTCGACTTGCACACTTTCGCTTGTTGCAGGGATCCGGAATTATCAAAGCTGGTTTCGCCGGGGATCAAATACCGAAAAGTCGCTTTAGCAACTAGTAAGTAATCACGAGTTATTTCACCATCACATATTAAATATTTACTGGTTTGTTTAATTTGTTAGTATTGGAAGACCAAAGCACCCTAGGGTGATGGCTGGTGGGTTGGAAGGCGACACATTCATCGGCCGCAACGTGGATGAGCATAGAGGCATCATGTCCATCAAGTATCCAATGGAGCATGGCATTGTAACAGACTGGAATGACATGGAGAAAATCTGGGCGTTTGTTTATAGTAAAGATGAACTATCAACATTCTATGAAGAGCATCCTGTGCTGCTAACTGAAGCGCCGCTAAATCCACGACCGAATCGTGAAAAAAGCGCGGAGATCTTCTTCGAAAGTTTCAATGTGCCTGCACTTTTCATTTCAATGCAAGCTGTACTTAGTTTATACTCCACTGGTCGTACTACAGGATTAGTATTAGATTCAGGGGATGGTGTGACACATGCAGTGCCTATTTATGAAGGATTTGCAATGCCGCATAGCATTCGGCGGATTGACGTAGCCGGCAGAGATGTTTCCAGATACCTCAGATTGTTGCTGAGAAAAGAAGGCATTAATCTGCGGACAACTGCCGAATTCGAAACGGTGCGCACAATTAAGGAGCGGTCGTGTTATTTGGCGAACAATCCGCTGAAAGAAGAAACATTAGATACGCAGCACATTAATTATCTACTGCCCGATGGTAATACGATTCAAATAGGACCGGCGGCTTTCCGGGCGCCTGAGGTTCTATTCCGGCCGGATTTGATTGGTGAAGAGTACGAAGGCATTCACGAAGTTTTAGTTTATTCCATTATGAAGTCGGATTTGGATTTGCGCAAAGTTCTGTTCAAGAATATCGTTTTATCCGGTGGTTCGACGCTGTTCAAGGGCTTCGGTGATAGACTCTTGTCGGAAATAAAAAAGATTTCACCGAAAGATGTGCAGTTGAAGGTATAAAACATTTTAAAATTATTATTATTTGAAATCAACACAGTTTTCGTTTAGATTTCTGCCCCGCAAGAAAGATTATATTCCACCTGGATCGGCGGTTCGATCCTGGCCGCCCTGGACACCTTCAAAAAGATGTGGGTATCCAAGAAAGAATACGACGAGGAGGGTCAACGCGCTATCCATAGGAAAACGTTCTAACCCCGCTCTGCAACCCGCCGACGCGTGTGTTTTATTATTCTAAATAATGTAAATGTAAATATACTCGCGCAGCTACGTCTTTTCCCGGTGAAAAACAAGCTTGAAAAGCATACGAAACTTAACAAGTCAATGTTTCCGCATAGATATATCAACAATATCACAAAAAACAAAAGAAAAGAAAATACGTGGCGATCATGCGCCATTTACATGCAAACATCAGAATTATATTATTTATGTTAATGTTTTACGCGGGACGTTTGTCGCAGCCTGCAAGAGTCGTGCTCACCAATTGTTTTAAATTAATTATTTTTATATTAATTAGATTACTGCCGCAAGTAACGCTTCTATTTATATATCAGCTTTTTCTATTTCAACAACTAAAACTAGCACAATTTTGTTTTCAATGTGGGAAATATTCGATATGACACGCGGCTTGCAAATAACATAAACTATGTAAATTTACTTTGCGAATCCCAGTTTATAATATTAATTTTGTAATAAATGAAGAAATAAGAACGAAATCAATCAACTTCTCATGTCTATAATCAGTTCAGTTAACGTTCGTTTGCGGGCCAAGGTGGGACAGGAGGAAGGTTATAAGTTCTGTTAAAAATTATGAGTGGATGCGTTAATGAAGATATAAAAAAATATATAAAGATAGGAGAGATGGAATTATGAGCTATACTTAGGTTTGGTTTCCTGGTCCGACACGGTACGAATGTAGATAGCATCCTCCGGTTTCAACTCAGGCGGATTGTCTTCTTCCAGAAAGTATGAACATGCAATTGCTAACGTTGAACCTTTAAAATTAAAAACAAGAAAATTATTTATCGAAATATTTGAATTTTTAGATTTTTAGACGCTACCATTGTGGCTGAAACTTAGAGATGTAATCGATGTGTCATATTGATGGAATTGACACAATCGTTTCTTATTGAAACCATCCCAGACGTTTACGAAACCATCAGACCCACCAGTCGCAAATGTGTGATGAGTTGGATGAAAACTATAAATGAAGAGTTATTTAAAAATGAATACATTTCTAGTGTTTAAGTTAATACCTGATGGCATTAACTGGATAAATCTTCTCAACGCCATCAATCTTGGTCCGATGACACTTAAAAGCGTATTTTTTCTTTTGTATCTCTGGACTTGCGTCCAAATATTCAACGGCGACACGTCCTTCGATACTACTCAGCGCGAAACCTTGTTTATTCGGAAAGCAACGAATCATTCTCGTCTGGTATTTGAGATTGGATTCGCGGCGTTGTAGTGTGTACGCCATATTTCGTAAATCCCAGACGAGGATTTTACGCCCGCTGGTTCCAACGACCATTTTTTCACCGCACACGCTCATTGTATACACCTTATCGCCCTGGTTGTAGGACCCGCTGCAGTTGTGTGAGCGTGGATCCCATATCTTCAGATTGTGATCCCAGCTACCGGTGACTATGCAGTTGACATCTGGGCAGTATTCAACGCATCGGATCGCATCAGAATGTGCACCGACGGTGTTTTCAGCAGCCGCATTGAAATCGAAGGTTTTTAGTGTGTTGTCTAAACCGCCACTGTATGCATGTACTGCGTCCTAAAAAATAAGTTAATAAATTTTAAAATATTTTATTTTTTTTGTATTTAATAATATTACTTACAGTGAAACAGCAATCTAAGACGGGAAATTCATGCCGGTACTTGTGCCTTAAACTATTTGCCTGCACGTCGTAGAGCCGGACGCTGGTATCCCATGAACTCACTAATAAGAACTGATTTGTATTGGGGCCAAATTTGACTGAAGAAATGGCATCATCTGGAGCTGAATTCAGTTTGTATTCTGCTTGTGATTTCATGATCGCCGTTTTGCCGTTGTAATAGTAACGAAATTAAGAGTTATAAATTAAAGAGCGTGTCTTGAAATAATTGTTGTTAGTTTCTTTTCCTCCGCTTATTAATATGTCTTAATATTTTGTCCCATCCATAATATCATTAGCTTCACTGGGTTAGTTGTTATTACATAGGTTATGTTCGAAATTAACGACTGAGAAATACTGAACAAAAGTTTTAAGTTAGATTACGCGTTTAATTCGTTAGGCAGAATGTCTAAACGTTGAATGCTATTGCTATTTTAGGCACTGAGAGGTATTTGATTAATTCACGTTCACTTTGCACGTTATAAACACAAAAAATGTGTTAAAAAACTGTTTGGTAATTTTTTGCCAAGCGCCTAACATACTGCAACCAAAAATGCACTATACACATTTTTGAAATAAATTTCTAGGTAAATATGTTGTGATTATTTACTTTTCGACGTGAATATTGCCAAAAATGTCAATGATTTTCATGCTATTTATATTAATAAATAATAAACAATACTTTCTACTAGTTATTAATTTGTTCTGTAGATGATTTGTTACTTTTACCAGGCTTCATTATCATTATTTATGTATTTATATAACTGTTAAATTATTACACCCGAAAGCCATTAATACTTTTATCTCATCAACTCATATTTACACCTAATCTGGTAACATCATAACAATTCTTATCACATTTGGTTAACTAATGTTTCGGTGTCTATCAGCTCATAATGAAAGTATACCTCGTTCAGCGCACAGTTAAGTAGTAACAAAGTTCCGATTCGACCGAGCGCACGTTTCGAACCGCTCGACCCAATTTCTCCAGTTTTAAGACAATTTACCATCAAAACTGAGTCATTTCTGCGCGTTTCAGTGCTACAAATATATAAACAGACTAATAATGTATAAAACATTATTTTTCATAGTTACAGCAATAAGTAAGTGAAGAAAAATTAATATTTTGTGCTAAAATAAAAATTAAAACAAACATTTCTTGTAGTTTTCGGTGATATCAATGCTGCCGGTGTTGATCCCGAAGTGACTTTGTCCACTGGTAAGGTTCAAGGCTACACGAAACAATCACCAGGCGGCCGAGTTTATTATGCGTTCGAAGGAATACCGTATGCGCGTCCACCGGTTGGCAAACACCGATTTGAAGTACGAGTAAACACTTTTATAACATAAATATTTACCGAAGTATGCTGAAAATGCATGAAAAATAATATATTTTTATTACAGGAACCGAAACCGATGAAACCATGGTTTGGCGTTTGGCAAGCAAAAACGTTATCCACTTGTTTACAGTATTATCACTACACTGAACCAGGGCAAGATTATGTGCGAGGTAATCAACACTTCAAAAACATTAATTAATTTAATTGATGTGTTTGTTTAATTAATTTAATTACATAATTTTGTTTCTTGTTTTATTATTTAGGTGATGAAGATTGTCTTCATGTAAATGTCTACACACCTGATTTGAAACCGACAGGAACATTAAAAGATGTCATTGTTTATATTCACGGCGGTGCTTTTATGTTCAACAGCGGTGGCACATACGGAGAGAAATATCTTGTTGATAAGAATATTGTTTATGTATCTCTCAACTACAGATTGGGGCCGTTAGGTAAAATTACTGCAACTTAAATTACATTCTTCTACTTTTAAGACTAATAATCTTTATAAATTAGGTTTTTGAGTACTGAAAGTCGCTACTTGCCCGGAAACATGGGAATTAAAGATCAAAAGTTAGCGTTGCGATGGATCAAAGAAAATATTCGGAATTTCGGAGGAAATCCGGATAGTATAACATTAACAGGAATGTCTGCAGGTGGCGTTAGTGTGCATGTTCATACATTATCGTCGAATCCTAGTAAGTTTTACATATTTTTAATCTAGTTTTTTAGGTATATAATTAAATTGCTGTAAATTTTGTTTCTAGATGTTCAATTGTTTAACAGGGCAATCGCTCAAAGTGGTTCAGCGTTAAATCCATGGGCATTAATGGAAAAAGCACGCGAGAAAACAGTGAAACTCAGTGAACTCTTAGGATGCCCTGGGTACGATACAAAAGAAATGATTAAATGTTTAAAATATCGTCCAGGGCGACAAATTGTAGCGGCTGTTAAACATTTCCAGGTAATAGGCTTATCCAGCCTATCTGCAATCGGTTAAAATGATTTTTTAATTTAATATCTGCAGCCATGGTTATACAACCCCTTCTCACCCTTCAGTCTTGTCATAGATAAATGGTCTGATGAACCAGTCCTACCAGAACACCCCTACCAATTATTAAAAACCAAACAAGTCCAGAATATACCAATCATTTTCAGTAATGTACAAGCCGAGGGACTTTACCCCGGCGCAGAATTCGCTTTTGAAGAAAAACTGGCGGAAATCGATGATCGCTTCGAATATTTAGTTCCTTTTATCTTGGATTATAACAATACAGTGGCTCCAAAAGATATTTCATCAGTAACACAGAAAATCCGAGAGTTTTATTTCAAGGATCACAAAGTCAATATGGCGTCCTATAAGCAATTAATTCAAATGTTAACAGATCGTATATTTTTGGTGGATAATGAACGCGCTGCGCGTTTGCACGCCGCGGCAAACTCAGAAGAGACTTATTTCTATTATTATTCTTATCAAAGCGCAAATAGTAAACAAAATCAACGAACTAAGAGTAAAATTTCTTATGGTAAGTAATTTACTCATAAAAATAAACAGTTTATATGTAAAATTTAATATAGGCACTTCTCATGGCGACGACACCATTATGGTCCTGTCCACGGATATTGACATAACCTCAACGGAGAGTGACAAAGCCATGAGTCAATTATTACAGGGAATGTGGACTTCTTTTGCCCAATCCAGGTATATTTTTGTTACTAATTTGTTTGAATCATATTAGTTTAAAAATATTTACGATATTTATTTACGAGTAGCACACCAAAAGTTGGGGATTTCACGTGGGAGACACTCTCACAAGATACTCAGGAACCTTTCAAATATTTACACATCAAATCACCGAGTGATGTGCTAATGGAAAGCGTCGAATATATCGGAAATCGCAAAAACTTCTGGGATACTTTACCGATAAATGAAAATCAAAACATCAAAGTCGTTAGAGACGAACTTTGATACAATAACACACAAATTCAAGTAAATTTAAACTTTTTTCTTTGTTATAAAACAATAAATATCGTTTTCTATACTTTAAACTTGATATACATGTACGATTTCTAATTTTTAATTATTTGAAGCACTTTACCTTCTAGACCGTGACACCCACTTCGCCGAGAATATCAGAAAGGCGTTCCAAGTGAGCTGTGACCGCGTAAGCGGATTGCCCTTTTTGACTACGATGCAATAATTGAAAGGCGTTCATATATTCCAACTCGGAAAATTCTGGGCCTTTTTCCATGATTCCGTTGAGAATTTCCTAAATAAAAATACTTATTTAGTTATCTAATATTTTAAACAATAGAAATAATGTTTTTACCTCGGGTGTAAGGAAGAATAACTCAAAATAATGCCTCGCATGATCCAAAGCAACTTCCCTTGTCATTGTAATATTAGTTAGGGTTTGCTGCAAGGCGAAAACATTGCGACACATCCGTTGAATACCCGCCTCATCAATAATCTGCATGTATTGCGATGAACTGATCAAGATTTTCGCTATCAAGTGCCCCAAACCTTCAAAAATATACTAAAACAGATTTAATTATTAGTTTTCGGCTATTTCTGCATGTAATTACACTGTAATTACTTTGCATTTGCGTGGATGTAGACTCGAAGTCATCGCTTCATCAACATTTGCAAGCACACGACTTAACTCCAACACTTTCGGATCAGGCTCGTGTGTTTCCTTGTTGTATTCGCTCGGTGCTAACAAATAATGGAAGCACTGCACACGCACCTAAATAAAATACAATATTATAATACATAAAGGTAATAATATAAATAAATGATGTATACTTCTAAATGTAGTAGCAACAAACAAGTGTTGGCCAATTCATCAAAATCTTGTGCTACACTTGTTAATTGTTGTAAAGTTGTTGAAGAAATTGGGGCTGTCGTGGCATCTCCAGTGCCACCTGCCGGTGAAAGTGTCGGATCTTGACGGAATTCACTAGCAAATTGTAACATTTGCACCGAAAACCATTCCTAAACCGTTAAATTAAAGACAAAAATAATAAAATAACAAATATTACAAGTTAAGACTGAGTTACACACCATACTTTCTTGAAGTTGCGCGAGTTCTTTCAAAAGCGCCATGTCAGAAAGTATCTCACTGGCGCTGACGCCATCTTCGCTTAAATTACTAGCCAACATTTCCGCCTCGCGTCGATTTCTCTGGCGCACTTCTTCAGGGGATTCTTCTTCTAAAGTATGCTCGCGGCGTACTGTACGTCTGCGTGCATTACGCGCTTGGAATTCTTGCATTGTTTTCAAATTCTGCCAATTTGGCAACGACCTGTGTACAAAAACAAAATGGTTGCCTTGTCTATAAAGATCTCACTTTAAACTTACTTCAAAAATCGACTAATATCATCGTCTTTAAGCCATGTGGCACTTAAAATCCGTCTATCTTCTGAATGCGGTTGAACAATACCGCAATAAGCAGCATTACATGTCTCGCGATAATCTTTTAGCGCATTACAAGCATATTTTACAATATCTTCGCCGCAAAAGGCAACGCGGCGAGAACTTTCCGCCAATCGCGGATAAACTTCTCAACATTAACAGCACTCTGAAAGAATTACATTTAAAAAACATACAAAGTTATATAAGACAAAAACATCCAACATACAATCAACAATGGTTTATAATCTGTAGTTGCATCCAACAAAACCGTCGATTTCCATGCGTCCGATGCTCGAACAGACGATTCAATTCGTTGTAAAGTGTCAATATGTCTACGCGTTAAAAACTTATCCTTTACATAATCAGATAAGAACTTGTGTAAGCCGCATTGGGCACTAAAATACAAAAAATGCAAGTCACAATAAGCAATAAGGGTTGCATACATTTAGGAGTATTTTTATACAAACCCTTGTTGCATTTCCAAAATGTGCTCGATATCTTCAACAAAGCACATAAACGGGATAAAAATATACATTATATTGTTATGATCCGGTGGGCAGATTAAAATTTTATCTCTACGCTTTGATGCTTCACTTGTTTCCTTGTAATCATTTTTAATTAAAGCGCTTGAAGATCCATCAAATTTAAACATAGCTTTTTTCTTTCTAAAAAAAATATCACTTACATTAGTACTAATTTATAACAATTTCATTTATCATACCCTTGTTGTTTACGTCTTGAAAAATACGCCGAAATGTCATTCGGATTGGTAAAACTATCATTCAACATCTGCGTTTCGCTGTTAATGTTCTGCACATCTAGATAATCATTCAACAATTGTTGCAGAACAACCTGTACTTGATGCCAAAACACTTTGATGTCATACAGATTAACGTCGACTTTGTGCGCGCGACAGGCTTTTGTAAAATGCGACAAAACCGTCGAATGTGCCTGTCCAATTTGTTTAAACTGCTCGAAAAGTGTCTGCACCAAATCAACCAGTGATAATTGTCTGGTTTGCTTGGTAACCTCCGCGCTTTGTTGCAATTGTGCAACGTCCATAATATGATAGGATGTGCGTTGAATAATTTGCGTTAATTCATTGTGCATTTCTTGCCGGATTTCTTGCAAAGCAAAAGGGATTTTCTCCAGTAACGCGAGGCTTTTAACTAATACAGAAGTAAAATGTACACTGTCTGATTCAGGATCAGATGTGTTCAAATCCTCGGAGACTTCAAATTCATTATCTGTCCGTGAAAATCTATTAAAAAAATAAAAAAAGTAAAAACACATTTTTTAATTTACAATAATAAAAAACTCACTTTGTTTCCATTAAATTCTTTCGCACATTACTTTTTTGTCTTGCAGATAATCTCATCTCTAAACTTCTCTGCAATGGTGAATTCATAAATCCTTCTCGATTACTCCCCTGCCTTCTGATGGTCAAAACTTGTTGACTTGGTCTGACATACAAGTGCTGCTTCAATTCATGCATTAACTTAAGATGCAACTGTTCTTTCTTTTGCTCTAATTCTTGACTTAACTCCTTGATAGCATCCACACCAACCAATGATCCTTTTCCTAAACCCACTGCTTCCACAAGAAGTTCAGTTGCATGCAGATATTGCTTTTGATTCAAATGTACATTCAATGTTTTGGGTACTTCTGTCATTTTTTCACTATTAACATTAATATTTTTATGATATTTAAAATTAAATTAATATAATAACTTACATTTCTTCTAATAATTGTATCATATGTTTATATTCCAAACCCTCAAGCCATAATTTCTTCAAATCATCCTTCTTGCAGTGTAATAAACTTTTGCAAGCCTTTAAATTCTCCTTCACCTTCCGGATTCTTGCCTGTGCTTGAGTGACCTGCTCTGATAAGCCTCCAAACAACTGCACAACTTGTGTCAAGTCACCTTCGTGTTTCAACACCAATTCATTCAGTTTTTTATCACTGATTTTGTATTCAGCCTCAAGTTTACTCTTTTCACGGTCGCGTTCTTCAATCGAATCGCTTTTGTAAAGCGTGTCGATGAACGACATCAATACTGAACTCTATATTATGATAATTATTTAATTACAAGATACAAATCTAGTCATCTTTAGGTTAAAATAGGTAGAAAATGTAAACTCACGGTTTCTTTGGATGTTTTTACACCCCTGGGTGGTTTTATAGGTGGTGAATGATCCATTTTATTGCACAGTGTTTTATTTTATAATAATTACTTTTAAATATGTAGTTTGATAAGTTTAAGTAACACAGTAAACTCCCATTCTTGTAATCAACAATTGTCACTCACGAAAACATCGTAGCAGACACATAGAATACAAATTCATATCATGAATGACTACTAGATGGCGCAACAATGCACTTTTCACGAGAAATAAACAAGTTATGCAGAACATGATTTCTACAACATTTCGTAAATATTTTGACTTTTTTATGTAGCAATCTGTCCCTGGCAATGATACGTACGTTTTATATACTATCAGTCAGATTATAAAGTTTAGAAATACACCTAAAACACAAAATAAGGTTTTTTTATTTTTTTAAATTTTACACCAAAAATCCAATTAAATTTAACGCAAATATTTTGATAAATAGCACTCAACATAATTATACTTATATCACTTGCAAACGTTAGCACATTTACTAAAAAATATAGGTTACTCTTTATTATTATAACAAAGAACATTTAAACATAATATATCACACATCAATCAAATTATTTTCTAATTTAGTATATCTGTGTCTACAAATATTAAATAACGTTGAACTTTGTAAACAAGTGTTCACAATGAACAGGTTTTACTTCAATTACACTTGATTTTATCGCCAAAAATAACATGCCAACAATTGTATTATTAATAGAAATATAATAGTTTATTATATAACATGTTTGAATACAAGCAAATCTGTTTCTGCTCCCAACGTTAATTAAATTCATACTGAGTGCACAAAATGGCTGCTGACGCTGTTTTGTGCATTTGTGTACAAAAGTATAATTTTAAACTTTGTCAAATTTTGAAATCGTGAGCGTAACTATTAAATTTAGATCATATTTAAGAGAAAACTTGATTTTTGCGGTGTAAAATATTATTTTTTGACAACTCTCCCTATTATGAAATAAAATTTAACGAATTTCCTGCTTTGGGTAATTATTTATCGCTTTTACATTACGTGCTAACACCTTGTTTGAAAAAGAATTATCCTTGTACGTGCAAATTCCTAAATTACAATCCCAAAAATGACTACACATTAAATTGCTGTATTTTTAACTATAATTAGTTTGTAATAACAAGCGCAAATATTCTAAATGTTCGTTTCCAAATGTTTGTGGGCTTTAATTTAAAATTTAGTAGTAGCTTTGGTTCCATCGCAACCACAGCACAAATCAAACTTTAATTTAAAATAAAAGTATGTAGATTAGAGGAAAAAACCTTTGTGAGACAATTTAAATTTAAAAATAATTTGCTAAGTGAAAAACACCTTCGTTTTATCATAGTTTTGGAGATTAAAATATTGCAACATAAAGCTTGTGTTATTTCCATTTTTGAAATGTGTATAACTATACTTAATTAAGATAAGGTGAGAATTGCATATTAAAGCCTATTTTATATCTACCTACGCATATATGTCATACATATTTATAGGTTTAAACTAACAAACAATAAATATAAATAAAACCACACACCAGAGCGTATTACAGATTGTAAAACATATTGCTAGGACAGGGTCGTCATGTTGGTGAGTGTAAAAATTAAAAAAAATTGCAAATAACTTCTGAGAGTAGTATTGGTTGCCTATATAAAGATTATTCAAATACAAAGTGTTTGCTATGTTGCAATTATTTTATTTTGTAGTTTCTAGTGATTTGTGCAATTTTACCGTTGTTATCACACGGTTTACCAACAGTCGATTGCAATGAAAGACAAATAAGATGGAAAACAAACGAGAAACTAATCATCGATGTAGATCCTGGAATTGACGACATCGAAGCAATGGTTATGCTACTCAATGAACACAACAAAAGAGTCTTCCAAATTGTTGCGTTTGTCATCAGTGAGGGTAACACAGCACAACAATATGGCATTAAGAACACATTCCGATTATTACAAGTCGCAAACTCATTAAACGTAATGCAACACATCTTAAAATATATCATATAAAACATAACCTATTCTAACCTTAAAACAACCAATTTTAGATTCCGGTATATGCGGGTTCACGAATGCCAATTTTGCCACACAAAGAAAAACTCGAGAATTTCTTCGGTATTGATGGTTTCGGAGATTTACATTGGCCTAACTTACCAGATGGAAGGATACAACGTATGCTTGCACCGCAAGCAATCAAGGAATTAACTGTTAGGTACCCTGATCAAATTACTTACATTGTTTTGGGACCTATGACCAATCTAGCTCTGGCAATGCGAATGTATGATGGACTTGCTGCTAAATTGAGAAGTGTTCATGCCATGGGCGGTTTGTACAGGGACGCAGCTGGAGAAGTAGGTGAATTCAACATTATGTTTGATCCTGAATCAGCTGAAATTGTGTTTGATCAACTTCGATCACCGATGACAATATTTACGTGGCAGGCGTGCATTAAAAATGCTCCTTTACGGGTTAGAATATCAAAAATTTCAAAAATTCAAAATTTTTATTTTTTTTTTTTATTTTGCCCAGAATTGGTTTGATACTGCTCCAATCAACAACCCAGTATTCAATATGATGTTACAAGCTGAAACCTCATTAAAAGCCATGCATCCCCAGGACCCACAATGGATTAGCTGTGACCCGATGTCAATTGTAGCATTCCTTGAACATAGATCTATTGTAGAATCCTATGAGAGTCCTGTAACGGTACAATTAAACTCCGGATCGGGTCGTGGTGTAATCACGAACTACACAAACAGTGAAAACCCTGGTTTTGAACGGTTTCCGGTTAAAGTTATTACTGAATTGGACATGGATATAATGCAACAAGTATTTTTGAGATCTTTTGACCAAATATGTAAAACCAAACGCTGCGTATACATTTAAAAAATATATCATTGTATATTGATCAAGAAACTAATGAATCGCATTGACGCCATAGTTTATCCCCGCGTGATTCCAAAATTCGACGCCAGGTGTCTCTCAACATTCTAAAAACATCACCAATGTAAATATATAACTTAATAAGTGTGGTTAGATATTACTCGGCGTTCAGATAAATTTCTTCAGTGTTAGGTAGTAAGGATTTAATTAAATCAGCAGCTGACATAACCACAATGCTTAAAAACTGTGATTGGTCATCAGGTATGTGACTTTCATTATCACGATTCATCATTGCCAACGGTGTGAATCCCATGGCTTTCTCTCTATCGCCTTGTGCAAAAAATTCACCTAAAACATTTTTAGGTTATATTCTAACCTATAACTTATATTCGTATACGTACGATATAAAGCATCAGTCAATCTTTTCGTAATACTAAACGGTTTTCCTTGTCCAGCAAGATCCGCCATTGTCATACAAACATTCCTCAGTAAATATTTATGAAAAGGAATTTGACAATTAAACTCTCCAGTGTTTAAAATCGCAATTAATTTGCTACGATTTTGAAATAATAAACCAAATCGGTGAAGATTATGTTTTCATGCACTTGTGTCATAAATATTTCAGATGTTTCCTCTTCTGTAATATTTTTAAAGATGTTATACTTTCTTAAAAGTTGTTCTGTTACAAAACAATGATGATTCTCCCAAATGGATTCTTCATAAATCAACGATAAACGATGATTCGTGATCAATAAGAAATTATTTGTCACTCCACCATGATCAATATCATGCGTCAACGCAGCAATCATCAATGCTTCACGCTGAAAACAATTTTTTTAAATAAAAATTTTGTTAAAAAATAAATGTTTTACATACTTCTAGTAAACTAAACTTGTTGATGTTCCTAATCAATATAGTGTACATGCAATGAGAGACACTGAAAGCATGCTCAAAGTTATGATAGGGATTTGATCGGTAACATCTTTGTGTCGTCAAGATAAACGCGTATAAATCTTCGAAATTGATTTCGCAGTCGGGGACAATGTCACGCAGCATTTTTATATAAAGTTGTGGCATAGCATGTAAATCTTCCGGGAGAATATAGTAAGTAAAACTTAAAAAAGTAAGGTTATGTAAGTAAAATTCATAAGATTATTAAGGTTATGTTAAAATACTCAAGTATATTCTTAGGAACTGGATAATTCAGATCGTTTCTCAACTGATTCAACTCCATAGCACAAGGTTTTAAATGATATTGCAGTAAATCATATGCACATTCAAGATGGTTCTCAACTTTTTTAATTTGACGTAAGTTCTTCGCAAAAAACAACGCTAAACCTGCATAGGTACTAATAATATCCATCATTTGTTCATCTTCAACCGTGAAAAACGATTCGTTTGCTTTGTTTACCATGGAAATAATGCCTGGAATAAAATAGGTTAGGATTGTGTGTAGTTACAATTACAGGTTATGTTGTATAGTCACCAAGAAGTTCACTGTTGGTAATAATGGGAATACAAAGTTCAGTGCGTTCAATGATCACTAGTTCTTCATCAATTTGCACTTGTGGTTTAAATCTTGGATCTGCATACATATCTTTGACGTTAATACGTTGTCTTTCCCTGGCAACTAAACAAGCCACAGTGCTTTCATGCCCAAAACGCACGGATTGTTTTTTCTGACTAAACACTTGTTGAAATCCGAGATGCCTTCTTCGTAGACATCTGCAATCATGTGCTGTTCATTTGTGATGACGTAAAATGTGCCTTGTTCAGCGCCAATTTCTTTTTTAGCGTAATTCTGTAATTAAAACGTTTTATAACCTCAAAAATGTAGAAAAACAATTAAATTTACTAAGATTTCAGAGAGTAGTGCTTCTAAAGTATCTGGTTGACTGTAGTACGTCAAAACCATTTGTAGGAGAGTATTGTTAACTTCTTGTTTCTGATGCAGCATGAATCCTTCATGATTTTCTTGAATAGTCAACCCGATCCAACCACACATAACCACAGCTAGTTTTAAGTCGTTCTTTTTATATGGCACGTCTGATACGTCTCTGTATAACTCAATAACAGCGAATGTAGAAAATTGAGTGACGATTGGTAAGCAAAGAACTGCTTTTACATTGTCTTTGTAACTAACGCCATCTGGGAACCTTGCATCTTTGTTAACATCGTCCACCATTACAAATTCTTTTGTTTTAGCCACGTAGCAAGCAACAGATCTGCACGAGTTGAGGTCGTAATTCACTCTGCATCTTGGATAAATCACATTCTTTTGATATTGATATAGTTGATCTTTGTTATTATCAACAAAATATAACCGCACGCCAAGGGAATCAGTGAGTACTTTGAGTACATCCGCAGTTTCATATAATAATGCGGGGAGATCCTTTTTATTGGCGAGGTAATTACGCATGCTGCGCATGAGGAGACTTGACTTTTTGTTAGGAAGAAGTTGTAATAGTTGACATCACGACGAAGTGAGGCTTTTTTGGTCTTGACTGATACTGGCACGTATGGGGCGAGGACACGTTTCGCCCATTTGCTTTGAGCAAGTAGTGATAATCGCGAAGGTGGACGTTTGCTTGTTTGGGGAACTTTGTATTTTTTTGTACTGGCGTTATCTCCTTCGGAATCGGGATTTGGCGACTCAGATGCTAGTGTGCTTGGGTGGGTCAGTTTAGATGCCATTTTATGAATGTTTATATACGTGTAAAATAATGAAAATATGAGAAATGTATTTGTGTGACAGGTTTATGTGATAACTTTTGTTTTTTACTTTGGCAGTGCCAGAATATTTTAATAACTGTCATTGAAGGTGAAAAGAAAAATAGAGAATTTAGAGGAGATAACAAATATTTAGTTGTAATAAGTACGTAATTTATTTGAAGATTTCTCCATTTCATTTAATTACTGATTATTTTATAAAAGTAAAATCTTTCCAAGTTCAAATTAATCTGAATCTAAAATATAAAATCTACAATATTTATTAAGTGAAACAAACTGCTCCAATTTCAATCCAGAATGCCTGATCTGCTTGACCCACATCCCTCACTCCTACATCAGTAATCGGAAGCCTTACTGGTTTGTCCGTTTCGTAAGAAATAATAGTCTTGGCCCAGGCATCATTACGATACTAAACAAAAGAAACAATTTAAAATAAAACACATTCAAATATTCATTCAATACTATTGTCTGAATACTTACTTTGCATTCATCAACCAAAGTATCATACTTCAATCTTGGGTTTGCTTTCGGTGTTAATTCAGCCTCATTCCACAAAGCAAACTTCAACCCTTTGCGATATGAATGTTTAGCTTGATCATAATACGCTACAGACTTCTTGCAGTGATAGGTTATGTTTTGATGTGCTTTCGCAGATAACAATTGTAAGAAAGCTATCTGTGTGCTGTCTGATTTGTAGGTCATTTTCATTCCACCTTCGACATCTCCCAACCATATTTCTGCCTCTTTACCGATATAGGTTACTTCAGGACTGTGTGTTGGTGATGGTAAAATACAACTGGCGCGTTTCTCCATGTCACAATGAACTAAAATAGAATCTCTCGGGTCACCTTCATTCGGATCAATCCAATATTGACCACTGGGGTATTCAGGATACGCTGCAGCAATGTCACGACAAGTCTTCGCTGGGTAATTTTTATCTCCGTTTGGTTTTTTGAACTTTTCGAATGATGCTTTCAGTTGTTCGTATGCTTTGACTACGATTCGTTTGCGTTCTTCGTCGGTTATGTCTTTACCAAAGATACGCATTGGTTCATCGCCCATTGCATCAGGACCTTTTGATTGTTGATCTGTGCGTGGCTTAATAAAGCTGCTAAACCAGCAGCATCATAAGCTAGACCTTCACCTGTTGGACCAGGAGGACCAGGTGGGCCTGGTTGGCCTGGTGGTCCTGGTTTACCATGATCTCCGTTTGTTCCGCGTGGGCCTGCAGGTCCCAAAGGACCTTGTGGTCCTATTGAACCGTCTCGACCTGATGGACCACGTGGGCCTACTTCACCATCTTTACCAGGTAAACCTGGCATACCCTGACTACCTTTTTCACCTACTAGACCTTGAATACCAGGTAAACCTTGTAATCCTATTAAACCACGATGACCTTTTGTTCCTTTTGGACCTAATTCGCCTCGTTCACCTTTGGCTCCTTCAATTCCGGGTGGGCCTGGTTTACCTCGTTGTCCTTGTTGACCTTCGGGGCCTTGTGGGCCTGTTTCGCCACGTTGACCACGTTCACCTGCTTGTCCAATCGGGCCTGATGGACCAATAGGGCCAGGAAGGCCAGGTGCTCCTGTTGGGCCTACTGGACCATGCGGACCTGTTGGTCCTTTATCACCCGGTCTACCTGCAATTCCAGCTGGACCTTGTTTGCCTGGTGCTCCCTCGGGACCATGATCACCAGTAGGTCCTGGAGGTCCTGGTGGTCCACTTAATCCGATTGGTCCAGGCGGGCCATCATGACCAGGTTTTCCAGCAACACCCATTTCACCTTGAGCACCGCGCATTCCACGCATACCTGTTGCGCCTTGAGGACCTGGTAAACCAGGTAAACCTCGTTCACCAGCTACTCCATGCGGACCTGTTGGACCTGGTGGTCCAGATGGTCCTTCAGCGCCAGTTTCACCTTTTGTGCCTTCCAAACCTTGTAAACCAGGTAGACCTTGAGCACCAGGCAGACCCGTACGACCAACATCACCTGTCGCCCCTTTAATACCAGGAACTCCGGGTAAACCTGGTGTTCCTGCATTACCAGGCAATCCGGCTGGGCCTTGTTCTCCAGGTCTTCCAGGAGGTCCCATTAAACCAGCATCACCGCGTGCTCCGGTCTCTCCACGGGCACCTTTAGCACCTTGTAAACCTGTCAAACCTATTGGGCCTGTTTCACCCGGTTTTCCAGCCAAACCAGGATTACCTTGCATGCCTTTACCGCCTGGCATTCCGCGATCACCTTTAGCACCTGATATTCCTGGAAGACCAATTGGTCCAGGGAAACCTTGAGCACCCGGTGGTCCGAGTGGGCCACGATCACCAACATTACCAGGCGCACCAGTTTCACCTGGTGGTCCTGGTAATCCTTGATCTCCGCGTTCTGCTGGTTCTCCTGGAGGACCTATTGGTCCTACCGGTCCTTGCAAACCTCGTTCTCCTTGACGACCTGGTGGACCCTCAGGACCAATTGGACCTAATGATCCTCTTTCGCCTTTATCACCTTGCTGTCCTGGTAGTCCACGTAAACCTGGTAAACCTACTAGACCCGGATGCCCAGCATGACCTTTGTCTCCTCGCAAGCCAGTTGGTCCTGGTGGACCATCAATGCCTTGCGCACCAACTGCACCTTTAGCACCAGGAGAACCTGGTTGTCCTAGTGGACCACGTTCTCCAGGAAATCCACGTTCACCGCGTTGGCCCTGTGCGCCAGGCACACCAATCGGTCCTTGCACACCAGCCTCACCGTCTTTACCGGGCATCCCTTGAAGACCCGGCGCACCGGGTAAACCTTGAAAACCTCTTGGGCCTGGTTGTCCAGCAGCTCCTCGTTCACCGTCTAACCCAGCGGGACCCGGAGGTCCTTGTAAACCTTGAATACCATCTTTTCCAGGGTCGCCGCGAGGTCCAGTTGCACCAGGCAGTCCAGGTTCTCCTTCTTTCCCAGGAGCACCAGTAAATCCTTTATCTCCTGGTGGTCCAATTGGTCCAGGAAGACCTTGTAAACCCGGTGGTCCAGATTCGCCTGGTTTACCGTCTGCACCTGCAATACCGCGTTCTCCGGGGTTTCCTGGTTTGCCAGTCATTCCAGGTCGTCCTGTTAAGCCTCGCTGACCTTGTAAACCCGTAGACCCTGGTCTGCCTATGTCACCTTGTGGTCCTTTAGGTCCAACAAGACCTTGAGGTCCTTTATCACCATTTTGACCTTTAGGACCAATTGGACCATCTGGTCCGGGCAATCCTCTTGCGCCAGGCTGACCACGTTCACCCTGTGGTCCTTGTTCACCGCTTGGACCACGCATACCACGTTTGCCTCGTTTACCCTCTGGCCCGACAGCTCCTTGAGGTCCACGAAGACCAATTGTACCTGTTTCACCTTTCATACCACTATCGCCTTTAAAACCACGTTCGCCAGATATACCCTGTTGACCTTTAATGCCAGGAGTTCCTGGATTTCCAGCAATTCCAGGTAGACCTCTTGGCCCGGGAAAACCAGGCGGTCCGGAAATACCTTGAGAACCTGGGGATCCTTTCTCGCCTGGCACTCCATCTTTGCCGGATAATCCAGGTGGTCCATTCTCACCAGGTTGCCCAGGTCGTCCAGATTCACCTCGCGGTCCTTGTAGACCTTGACTACCTTTAGGCCCAGCCGATCCCATATCTCCTTTATTTCCAGGACTACCTGGAAAACCCGGTGGGCCTGGTTTACCAATTGAACCAGACGGACCTGGAGGTCCAGCAATTCCATCCATTCCTCTAACACCGTTAGGACCAGGTGGACCTTCACGTCCACGTTCACCTCTTGGACCAGCAGGTCCCATTGGACCAGAAGGCCCCACAGGACCTTGATTACCCATTGAACCTTTCTCACCAGCTACACCTTGTTCACCTTTAGCACCGTCAATACCTTGAAACCCACGATGACCCTTAACGCCTGGTAAACCTGGCATTCCTGGCAAACCACGTGGACCCGGTGGACCTGCAGCACCAGGTTGCCCAGCTTCACCATCTTCACCCGGTTCACCCTAAAACCAAAATTATTAAGTTTAAAAACACTCAATTTATCAAAATATTTAACCATTACATCTTTTCCTGGAGGACCAGTCAAACCTCTAGGACCTATTGGTCCAATTGATCCTTGTGGCCCAGCTTCACCTTGTTCTCCTCGTATACCTTGAAAACCTTGCGGTCCCACTGCACCTAACGGCCCTGCTGGACCTCTAGGACCAACAGGCCCAACTTGCGCTTGCATATATTGAAAAGGTTCCACTGGTGCAGATGGTCCTTTATCACCGCCAGCTTCAGACAACGCGAGTTGATGATAATACATTGATAAATCAGGGGCGGGACCAGGTGGGCCAGGAGGACCAGGTATTCCTGGATTACCCGGAGTACCAGGACTACCAGAAGATCCGGGGTAACCAGGCTCACCTTGGAAACCTGTATCACCACGTGGACCTGGTATAGGATCACTTGGTGGTACCACAGCCGCAGAATCATAAATAACTAAAATTTAACCAAATTAAACTCAATAACCACTTAAACAATATTTAATATAATTAAATACCTCTTGGACAATTTGGTTGTTTATGACAAGACACCTTTCCATACGTACACGTACAGTTCATACAAGCAGAAGGACTCCAACGTTGTCCTTCCAGATAGTATTTACCTTCATGATGACAATTGTAAGCAGCAGCATGTGCATCTGGAACCAGATGGTTACGTGGTGTTGGTACCACAACTTGAACATTAATAGAACTTGTAGGCGTTGGTTGCTCATCGTCAGGTTGCGAAAAAAATGTTGTAGATTCTATTTCATCATCGGGGCGTTCATCAGGTGGTTGTGGGGTTGTATGAGCATTTATTATTACTGGTGGAGCATAACTAGTGGTTCCTAATCAATCAAAAACAAGAACAAAAATTTTACGTTTTAAAATTTATAATTTAAAAATTCATTTACTCACGTTTTTCTTCATATTCTTCATAATATTCCGCATACTCCGACTCGTCTAGATCATCATACTCGCCTGTAGCTGGTTGTTGATTCTGTGGTTTATCCAAATCCGCATTCTTTTTCACTTTTGCTCTGCGAACTCGCGCATCAACTCCCAACGCAAGAAAAAAACACACCGCAATAAAAAACACAATTTTTTGCTTCATTTTGACTTAAACTAAGACAACTTTGAGAGGAATAGAATATGTTCGAGGGCTGCGCAGCCCCGGACACGAACCTCACCGCCCCAGAGCAGGGCCCGATCTGTACGCGCATCCTGTTTTCGGCTGTTATTTATCATATTCTCTAAGAGTCGGGAGGCGGGCACGCGGGGATTGTCTTAGGAGCACATATTTCAAATGAATTAATGTGTAATGCGTACATATGCAGATGTGTATTAAGAACGTTGTGCGCGATATGTGCCACCGAGTCAAATTGGATTGGGTTGTAGAATATTGGGAACGAGAATCGCGTTACGCACAGTGCGTCTGTTATTTTGATTAAAAAATTGAAGTATCTGGAAAGCACTTGCGCAATTGTCTTTGCACAGTGTTTAACGATCTTAACATACATTTGATTTGATATTTGCTATTAGAAATCATTTTTGTTAAGGAAACTTAATTAAAAAGACTTTAAAATGTCGCAAAAATGAATTTTGACATTTTTATCTGTCAAAATGGCAAAAAATATGTTTTATTGACTTAAAATAGCTTAAGTAAGTCCTAAGTCTTAGTTCTAAATAACATTTTCAATAAAAATAACTTTAATATTACTTGTTTACTGACATAACCTAACTTCTATGCTCCCAAGCAATAAAACCAAGTTTTATGCCGTATTAATTAGTTTCACACATTCTCTCTCAACTGAAATAAATAGGTCATAGACCGAATGTCGATTTGCCGAGGCGTTCGCTAAGATGTTGAAAAATTTACAGTGTGAAATGACATTTGCAAACGCAATCACAATCACAGATATTCAGCACCAATTCAGCGTCGATAACCATCCGAACACACTACTAGGCGATTTGATGATTTATTTTACACATTTACATGCCGCGCATCAATTCGCGCTCGTGTCGCTGTTTCTACAATTGTTATTATTGCAATTTAATTAGATTAACATTCGAGTGCGTCGCATGGCGCACGCACTAATAGTGTGTTGATAATAATTGGAGCGAAAAATGGCGGTTATTTTTATGTGGGAATGAAATAAGTAAGCAGAGCTAAATTTAGTAACAAATTTCGTCGTTAACGTGATAGTAAACGTCACATAAAGATGAAATAATTAATTATTTTCCGGACAGATGCTGTATGATGAGAGTGTTAAGTTATGTGAATTCAATAAAAAGCGTCGAAGAGAATTAATGCCTGTTGGACTCGTCAACGTTTTGACAAGATGACAGGACGGTTTTTGTGCGTTTGAAACATTAGTCATTATTTTGGTAAAGGCAAAACATAATACGAGTAGAAATAAAAATATGGTGAGTTTGAATAAAACATTGTCATTTTATTAACGAAAAACAATTTAAAACATTTATATTGCGGTTAATTTAATACTAATAATAAATAATTATTACTTTTAAATTAAGTGCTGGATGGGTAGTTAATTAATTAATTACTAATTTACAACTAATGTAACATGGTTTTGTAGGTCATTATTAAACATACAACAACATTAAACATATTATATGAATAAATTATCTTCTTCTCGGAAGAAAGTTATGTTAGTGAAAACTAAAAAAAAAAATATTGAAAAATCTTAAATTTTTAACTTTAAAGACAAACAACATTAGAAAAATCATTATTTTAGTATAATACTTCATTTCAAATTGTTATTTTCTTGCTGAAAACAGAATAACAATTAAAATCTTTAAGAAAAAAAACTCTATATGAAGATTGACAGGAATGTGTTTTGTGATGTGTTATTGATAGATTACGTGTATCAAACGTTAAAGTAGAATCCCTACTAATATTATTAATGCGAAAGTCCTGATGTTTGTTACACTTTCACGCAAAAACTACTTAACCGATCATTATGAAAATTTGTACACATATTCTTAGTGGTCCCCGAATGGTTATAGGCTACTTTTAATTTCATAAAAAAAATATTTTTTAAATAAGATAAAGAAATTGTTTAGCCAATAATACCTCTGGTTCTGGCCATTCGACTACTTTAACGCCATCTAGCATTCCAGCAATGAAGCTCAAACCTAAGTACTATAGTACCATCACAATGTATTATCACACTGTATTACCGACAGCTACGTCAACATCAAATCCAATTGACTACCCTATGGAGACTGTACACTATACTTCCATAGACTATACTTTCAGCCATTTTAAACTTCCCGCCATTCTACTTCATTGTTACTTCTTCTGTGACTACAGACGCGTACGGAAGCAACTTCATTATTTTAGATATTTAGATAGTATAGTAATCTAATATAAAAAAAAATCTGATGTCACAGTTGTAGTTTTAATACTCCTATGAAACGGCTTCACCAAATGTTATTCCTTTAAATAATAACAGTGGTTCACCTCAATTTTTTTAATCTTAAAATTAAGAATCACGTGACTAAACGTTGTTAAACACTCGATTGATTAAACAGTCGCTACGCTCGCTTGCAATCAATCTTGTGAGTAAAGTCTAGGTTTAGCCACTTGATACTTAATATACTATTATCCTAGATATCAAGCTTTATGTAAAAAACCTACAGAATTATGTAAACAAATAATGATTAAATCAAATATTTAACGCAAGTTCAACATTAATATTTGTTACTTCACTTTGTGCAGATAATTTATAATATAGTAATGATAATACAAAAATCAATTTTGTTGAATCAATGAGCAGAAACCGTGACATAGCTATTAGTATCCTTTCACAATGAAGTGGATCAACAATTATATTCGTGATAACCAAATTGTCTCTACTGACGAAACATTGCAAATTGAAGATGTTGCCATAGCGCCTTATATTCTTCGTAATATTTTGTTAACAAACAATAAAAGTTGCAGACTTCTTTCATTTTGCATGTATGTTATAAACCCCATTTTCCTGGCAGCAGGCTTGACAGGACATTGCTATAAATTGATAAGTAAGAAAATAATCACAACAATAAACTTATTTTAAACATTTGTTACAATTGCAGTAATTGATCAATTACCATTCCAAGAGTATGCAGTACACTTAACAATTTTTATAATTGGAATTACTGGTGCGGCTTTCATTGCGTATACAAGACATGATAAACAGAAATTATTGGTTTTAATGGACATTATAAACAATTCACCGTTTGTACATCCAAAAAATGTTTGTCTACGCAAGTCATTTCTATTACTGAATCAATTTCTGGTTGTTACATTGATAATATTATCATGTTATTCAGTGGTAGATATATTGGCAGCGCCATTTTTAATCTCGAAATTTTTTCCCTTTGTAAGTAACATATATTTATATACATATAACAACACAGATAAAAGTATGTAATAAATATTTTATTTCTTTTAGTATTATTTTGTTGATTTGGGCTTATTTAATATTGCCGTGAGTGTAATATTTCGCATTGAGTTTTATTTTTGCGCCGTCATAATTTGGACTTTACTTACAATGTTTATGACGTATAAATTATATTTGAAATTTAATTGTGAGATGATTATGAAAGCTTTGAAGTACCTAAAATTTGAAACAAATTTAAACAATCGTCATCGACATTTTGCTATTATTATAAAACATCATCGTTTTATGACCCAGTAAGTATGATTTTTTATACGAGTACAGTAAAAAATTAAATTTATTATTTTTTAGATTCTGGACTAAATTATGTGAATCCATAAAAAATACCTTACTAATAATAACAGTCCTTGGAGCAATTGGCTATTCACTCATATTTATAACATTATTAATTGTATGTTAATCTGAAACTTAATCTATTAATTAAACAAATAGTTATAATATTTATTCTAGGAATTTAATATTATAGTTTGTGTTGTCTCCGTTATATACATAACGATGGGACTTTTAGCTTGCATTCTGTCCTCTCAACTCGTAGATCTTGTAAATACTTTTCTGTATTTTATTCTTAATAAATTATAACATGTGTTTTGTAGACTATTCAATTACATAATACTACTTTTGATGAGATTCCATGGGATGGCGACGTTGCAATTGTCAAAAAATTGCTAATTATGAATATGCGCACCAGAACCCATTTTGTAATACCTATTGGAGATTTTACAGTGGTTTCTAATGAATTTATGATGAAGGCATAACAATTTGTAATTAAATTTTAAAAATTCTAATCTTTATTTTTCTAGCTGTTTAAAATAACGTATTCCATATTCATGATGTACTTTAACACAATTATTGAGTCAAAAATAAATTAGGTATGATAATTAAGTTCATAAATCATACTAGAAATTTTGCCAAATAGCATATTATAGCATATTTCAGAAACATAGAACAGAAAAATTTCCGGATATGGTTATGTCGTTTGTCATTAATCGCGCACCGATATTAGTGAGTAATAATATAAATTTCAATATTAATTTATTAAAATATATTGAAATATTAATAATTTTATCTGAGAGAGCATGATTAATTTAAGAAATACTCAGAATTATGTAAAAAATGATTCAATCAAATATTTAACGTAAGATCAACATTAATATTTGTTAGTGCAGATAATTTATAATATAGTAATGATAATATAAAAATCAATTTTGTTGAAACAATAAGCTGAAACCGTGACATAGCTATCAGTGTCCTTTCATAATGGAGTGGATCAACAATTTCATTCGTGCTGACAGAATTGTCTCAACTCAAGAACCACTGCAATTTGAAGATGTGGCAATTGCCCCTTTTATTATTCGCAAAATTTTCTTATCAGACCAAACGCGTTTTGCGCTTCTGCTGTTCTGCATATATTATATATACCCTGCTTTTCTGACGATTGGCATGACAGGACACTGCTATAAATTGATAAGTAAGAAAGTGATCTTAACAGTAAACTTATTTCTTACACTTGTTACAATTGCAGTGATTGATGAATTAAAATTTCAAGAATACGTGGTGGATTTGACACTTTTTATATTCGAAATTATTGCTGTGGTTTTTATTGTGTTTCTCACACGTAACAAACAGCAAATAATAAGCATAATTGATTTTATCAATAA